GAGCCTTTGGTAGCTGTTGGCAACACTGGCCGTGACGTCACATCGACGCTCGTACGGATTAGGGAACGCGGGGAGGTGCGCGGGAAGTGCGAGGGAGAGTCGTAGGCCTCAGCCTCGAACTTAGCGGGCAGCGGGGCGGCGGCGGCGGCGGCGCGGGAGCGGCAGGATCTTATGCGTAAAATCAAATAGACCGGTTCTCGAAAACAGCGGCGCGGCAGCGGGCAACGAGCGGGCAGCGGCGAGGGAGCGGGCAACGAGCGGCCAGCGCACTCCTTCTTTTGCCCACAATAAATCGAGCGTTAGGAATAAATTTGAATCGAAATAAAATTGTCGCCGTTGTTCAGACATTTCGTTTGCGAATAAAAACAAATATCTCGACAACACAACCCCGAACACAACACTTCGCCGCTAAAGCGCCGCGCGAGCTGCCCGCTTGTTTCGAGAACGGGTCTGCGTTGCCCGCCCCGCTCCAGGCAACTTTATGATAATTTATTGATTTTCTAAAATAAAAAGAAGCTAACAATCATTCCAATCTTAATCATTTATTATTCAACATCATCATCAACATCTATAAATTCAAAAGTTTCATCATTATTTGAAGCTAATACATTTTTAACTTCATTAGGAAGAGGAGATTTTGACTCACACTCATTTTTGGTCTTATTGTTGACAAAAAAGGATCCAAAGAAATAAGTAAATTATTTAAAATATCACGATTGGTCACTTTTCGGTTAAATTTACGCGTATGATTCTCTCTGATCTTTATTCCGCGATTCTGCTGCTTCTTCCGATAGTGCTCCTATTGGCATAATATCTAAGTAAATTGAGTGAAGTTTTGGGGGTTTATTTGCTCACCGGAAGCCATAGCCCTTAATAATACGGACAACCTAGGAATCAGATCTTGACTAACTCCAGTGATGTTGGATATTTTTTCTGGATCTGCAAAAAATCTACGCGCACTATTTCCGTTGTTTGTTGTTCCAGCCCCTTGCTGCACAATATCTATTAGCAATCCAGTTTAATCGCGAAACCGTTTTTGTATTTCAGCTTTTCGTTTCTCCATATTTGCTTTTTTATTTCCTCTTGCTGTCCAAGTTTTAAATTCTAGTCTATAAGTAATGTGTAATATAGTTTCCATAGCCCGTATCCATGCGTGCAATGAAGATAGGCCATACTTGTACAGTCACGGAATGAAAAGGTTCGTCAGTTTTCAAATTGATTCCTTCAACGAATCTCGAGCACATATTACCTTTTGAAACTATGTCACAGAATAATCTCGAGTTAGAGAAAATAATCTTTAACTGTTCGTCAGTAAAGTTCAAAATTATTCAGATCAAAGTTGTTTGACGATTCATCTTGTCAAGAAGATTATTATGATTGATAAACTAAAACCTTCTTGTTGGTTCAACCTGTCATTATTATTCCTTTTAAATAAAAAAAACTATTGTCAATTGGTCAATGTCATCATTGCATTGCACTGATGGGATAGAAAAATAAACAAGCAAAACCTTAATCGTTAGCAAACGTCATATTTATTTAAATGTTAGCAGCACTGTTTCTTGTACTGTTATGTTGGCAGGTTTGACTCTTACAGTACCTAGTGCAAGCGAAAACCGACGCTAAGGTGACGAACCTTTTCATTCCGCGACTGTACATATCGATATTTAAAGATATTTGTTTTAATTTTGTTAAATGATTCATGTCAGTTGGTTTTGCTTTGCACTTAGATATTATGCCAATAGGAGCACTATCGGAAGAATCGCGGAATAAAGATTTTAGAAAGATCAGAGAGAACCATACGCGTAAATTTAACCGAAAAGTGACCAATCGTGATATTTTAAATAATTTACTTATTTCTTCAGATCCTTTTTTGTCAACAATAAGACCAAAAATGAGTGTGAGTCAAAATCTCCTCTTCCTAATGAAGTTAAAAATTTACTAGCTTCAAATAATGATGAAACTTTAGAATTTAGAGATGTTGATGATGATGTTGAATAATAAATGATTAAGATTGGAATGATTGTTAGCTTCTTTTTATTTTAGAAAATCAATAAATTATCATAAAGTTGCCTTATATCCATATATTTTGTTCGGTCTGGGCAAATTTGCCTCNGTTTCAACTATCGATTTGACGATTTTAAAAGTTAAATGGCATTCTCAAAATATTTAAAAATACCACATGAGCTCTTGTGAAACTTCAATAACAGTTAACAGTCAGTAGATGTGTCAAGTTTTTCGAAATCATAAATCCTTTTTTAACGTGTGCACTAGATACGGAGAGAAAAATACCACAAGAAAAAGGTTGTTTTAATAATGAAGGACAATAACCCATTGTAAAATAAAACATGCAGGTGAAGACTGTTTGTTTCATTTGTCTCTTACTTGGTAGTTGGCAAGTTTGTATTGCAACAGATTGGTATTTAACTACCGAGTATATTTACAGCTCTCATTTATGTCATTTTTAAAGTTATCGCTATCTATTTATCGCCCTACAATCCAGTCTAATTAACCAACTTAGCTACTTTATAGCTAGATTTAGCAACTTTTTGATGTCAGGCAGCTACATTTTTTTTTAACTTGTAGCTACTTTTTCTAGCAACTATTGATTATGATATATTTTTACAAAGTTATGGTAACGGCATAACCGACAAACAAAATTTGTATTAGCAATATACGATACGACTCACTTAAATCGGTGCGGAATAACTTTGGTGATTCGTTTGAGTGATTTTGGCCTGTGGGTGGGGATTCCCCTAAACTAATATGACAAAATGGGTACTATGGAAAAAGATTCCAAATCATGTGCAGCTGAACCTTCTACATCTTCTCGTACATAATTATAATATTCGGTAGATAATCAAAATACTGTCTTATTTTATTTGTTATCAAGTAGTCACAGTATTAAAGTTAAATTGATTAAAGTTATGATTTTTTATTATTGATAGCTGATTTATCAACTGCAGTGTTTTATTTCTTTAGTATTTTATTTACTTCGGAATTCAGCTACTTCTAGCTACTTTTTAGAGAGAAAAAAATACCCAATCTAGCAACTTTCTGTTAAATTCCTAGCTACGAGCCTTTGGTAGCTGTTGGCAACACTGGCCGTGACGTCACAGGGAGAGTCGTATTCCAACGAAGTGCGCAGTTATCTCGATCGGACCGTAATTTTTTTTAAGTGTAATGTTTTTACACCCTTTGAACGAGGTTAACCCAAATAATGTATAACGATAATTGCGTGAAATGTGTGCTTTATCGTTACAAAAACGTTACGAATCATAAACAGAACTGAACAGAAATCAGTTTGTCAAGAATTTAAAGAAGATTCGATTACAATATTTTTACTAAAGATAACTAACTGTTTGCGTTTGCTTAAAATAACATTATTGTTACATGTCAAGGCTAAACGATAATGCTGGTAGCGCAGCATTAGCCTTAATTGTTATGTAATTACCTATTTCAAAATTTAAACATTCACCCAATACGCATGTTTTTTAATTTAGATAAATACGACGCACGGATTAACAGAACACCATTAACCATTTTGCAAATAGGTCAACGAGCATACTCTTTAATTAACGAAATACATATTCGAATTTAGCGATTGCAAAACTTATTTCAATCGTAATTAAATCTCTAGGAGAATCGCCTCTTCCCTACACACACTAATGTTATTCACTAAATTATTATAAAGGCGAACGTTGGTGAGTGTAAGTGTGTACCTATGTTCGTTACTTCTTCACGTCTAAACAGCTGGAGCGATTTTAATAAAATATGGAGTTAGCTGACACCCTGGATTACCACATAGGCTACGTTTTACAACTTAATAAACCGCGGATAACATCGCGGGGCACAGCTAGTTGTAAATATTTTGTAAAGTTTCTTCGATTATTCCTAGGCGCAGCAGATCATCGATTTTTCGTCGGCCGTAAGTTTAGTCGGGCAGTTGATCAGTATGGGCATGTATGAAAGTGCGCACATTAACACCGATTGATTTTTTTATACAGGGTGTTAGGTAAATGGGTATATGAGCCGACACTAGCCCATGTTAACATGGGCTAGTGTCAGATAGCTGTATAAATTAGAATCGGGCCCAACTATCGGCCGGCTAAAAATCGGTGGTCTGCGCCTGGGCTTAACCAACTACGAAAAAAGCGGGTGAAGGTGAAAATTTACGTCCTTTTGTGCATTTTTTTTTAATTGGAAATTACGTAATTTGCCTGCCTCCTTTCTATAAAACTTAATAACGAATGCATGGATAATATGCAAAGAGAGCTACACCAGTGGCGGATTTACCAGCAGGCTCAGAAGGCTAAAGCCTAGGGCGGCAGATTTAGTTCATACATTTTTCATACACAAAATACGAATGTCGTAAATTAAACTGCAATAAAATATTTAACAAAAATCTAAATACAGTCCTATACCAAAGCAACACCACCCTTAGTAAAATATACTTCAGTGTTATCAATTTATAAACAACCCGTGCCTAAATGGCCTACAGGCGACAAATCGGTAAATTCGCCACAGAGCTACACCACAATACTGAATACACATAGCGTGTTATTTTAGCTGAGGGTCCGCATTACAAAATATCGTTCAAAACTCGACTCTATATTTATGAAATTAGTATAGATGATCCTAGTAGTACTTAAGTGGCATAAATCTTAAGAGTGAAAAGTTGCTAAATACAATCTCCACAAAGGTGCACGGTGCGGTTTTAGGCTGGTTTTAGAATCGCGCTGACCGCTCGCTGATCGTCGGCGCTGACAAATCAATATGTATGTAATTGAAGGGAACGTTCCTGAGTGACGCTGATCTCTCGGTGCCGACGCGCGACGCTTCATACATTTCGGCTGTCAGCGCTGACGGTCAGCGTGACTAAAACCAGCCTTAGTGTGTGCAGCGCCTTATTCAACCGGTTTATCCAGTAATTGAATTTTATGTCATATCTAATTTTTAAGAAGAATAACAAATCTACATGTAATCATCAATCAATCACATACCTTTTTAGCGTTTTTCTCTGCCAGTTCCAGCTGCCTCCTTGTCTGCTCCAGTTCCATTTCAATCTTTTTCCTTTGGAGCATGAGAAGTTCCTGCTCCTTCTTGACGAGGATGGTGCGCATCTTTTCTTCTTCTTCAGTGGGTGGGGCAGGCGTGCTGGTTGTTGGAGCATTCTGCCAAATTAATGTCTCATTATAGTTTCAGCCGGGGAAATAAAATACTTCATTGTATAGTCTCCATAAAAATTTATAGTCTCAGTTTTCATATCGAAACAAATTAAAGTATGAGTAAAAAACAAGCATCCAATAAGGCAAGGATGTGCGAAAGGGTACCAGCTTATATTACAATGAATTCATTTCTGTAGGTGAGATGGAACTTACTGCCAAGTCAATACAACAGCAAACTACAGGCATTTAGAAGAGGCTAAGCTAAAATCAGCTAAATCAACATGGAAACATAATCAACTAAAAAAAACACCTTTTTCAGAAAATTTGGATTTACATGGATGTTTGACTGCTGCGGCTGAGCTTGGATCGGCCAGGCCGGATCGATCAAGTTCACTTTCACATCCAGTTGGTACAACTTCGTCGCTGGGAACACATCGTGCCACGTCTCACGGAGTTTGAACATTTGAGATCTCACTTTCTCATCCACCTATGAATAGAACATGAATTAATACAAAATAACACATAATAAGTAATATTCAATGATCATATTCAAAGACATCAAGAACAATAATTACCTGTTTGAACGTCCTAGTGAACATGTTCACAATGCTCTGTGAGAATTTCTGGGTGTACGCTCCACCGACATTCTTGATAATGGAATCAACTAAATACAGTACAGGCAGCTTGATGTCCGGATTCACCTGTGTAGGAAAAACAGTTTCTAGTCCCAAACCCCACGGATGACCATGTCTGCTCATCCGATGGTCGGCTGCCTCTCTTCAGTGTGCGACTAGTTCTTACTTTCTTGGCCCAAAATCAAATTAATAACTTGGTATAGGAAAGAATAAGACAAATGTTTGTGGTTACAACCTTTTTAATTCTCAGCAAGCGTAAAATAAATAAGAACTCAGTTTTAAAAAGCTTTATTTCAACATATTTAGAATACAACTGAAATGAAATCAGTGTTCTTACATACCATTCAGGTACATTGGCAAAATTTAATCTTTGTAACTAGCTCTATTGATAACAGGTATCTCCCAATGATGAAAAGATAGGGGGTAATAATAAAATGAAACATTTCAAAATATAATGTCACTAATTACACTGAATTGCAAAATATTACTTTAGTACATAAAAAAGTTAACAGCAACCAGTTGATATGGGACTTTTTAGTATCTATTCATATCATTATAATTATTGTATGTATGTATCTGTGTAAGAATGCCTATGATCTTTATCTAATCTAAATGTTTTTTCAAATACTGAAACATGATAATGAGTCTAATGGAGATACCTGCTGTGGACTGGTTACAAACGAGGTCAGATTAGTCACACCGTGATCGTAAACACGTAAAACCCGCCAATGACGTGCGTCACCAGCGAACACTTTCCCCAGTCTCCCTGGCGTTCACGTGTCTCGTGGCATTATGACGAATGCCTCCGACCGTGTAATTTTAAAAATGGAAATTCACCTTCTCCAAATGCTTCTCCACCGTCTCAACGATAACCCCGGCATGGTCGATGTTCTCTTCCGCGAGTATGGTCAACATGTTGATCAACGGCTTGCTGTTGACGGTCAGGTCCGACAAACTCGAAGCGTACTCCTCTGCTATTTCCTTCGACATTTTGGATAGGAACCGAAGGTGGTCTCACCATACCAAACACTGTCTTCACCCGCACATCACTGTAACCAACAAATAAAAATGATAGCATCGTATAATTTCACTTTACGATTACGTGTTAAACCAACATGGCGAAATTCAACAAAATATCACGTTTAGAACTTACGTTATCTACGATAACACTATATTGCGAGAGATAGAACACGACGAGAAGACGGCCACCTCACGTAGGATTTAAACGCACATAATAGTAATTATTTTTCAGAACACACGCAAAAAGAAATGCGACTTTTCTTCAGCAAGAGAGGACGACGACGATTTTTTTGACGTTACTGGATAATGGCCGCCGCGCTCCGCGCTCTCTCACTCAAATAAAATGGCGGACGGACCACATCCATAGACATCGATGAATAGTGATGTCAATGTGAGCTAGCTCGCAGGACAAGACTACTTCTTTATTTCTGAACGTTAGATTGCTTTCATCATTTCTCAACTGACATTGACAGATTTGTTGTGATTTGTGAATGAAATGCTGACAAATTTTGTGAAATTTGTTCTATCTATTCCGAAAAAATCAATTTAATGATCAGTAGGTACCTACATAAAGCAGGAATTGATTTTATTTAGCTAGTGGTTTTAATCACCTGTCAAAACATTCTGTGGCAAACAGTGTTATTGGCTTGCCAACATGTCGAACGTAAATACAGGAGAGTTGTTGAATTTCCAAGACTATTCACCGGAGCACAATGATCGCAGTGCTCGGATCGACGTGGAAGCAGTCCACACGAACCAGTACAGTAGTTCAATGGCAAACCCGAACTACTCGTTTGAAGAGCCTAAGGTGGCTGCGGAACCTGAAGTGGTACCGCAAAGTTAGTGATTCATTCTTGATAATAAAGTCTAGCACGTTTAGTCATTATTCTAATTACTTCTTGAAATTTCAGCAAATCACAACTTTTGGTCCATAAAGTATTACCAAAAGTATTTTGATGTGCACACCAATGAAGTGGTTGAGAGAATCATCTCCTCTGTGCTGCCACAGAAAGTGTCTCGTAACTATTTCGATGAAAGAATAAAGGGCAAACCGGATTTGTACGGGCCTGTGTGGATCTCTGTCACCCTAGTGAGTAATACATGTTCTATACCAACCAAGAAAAAAAACAATTATATCATGATTTATTATAGCATCCTTATTATTATACCTTTAACACTGCAGTACACGCGCCCCTTTTTTTACACGAATACACGCCCGGCCTACTCTGGTAAGCCAATTTAAAATCACTGTAAATCAGTTTATAAGCAATTTAAGAATATAATTACTATGTAAATGATAAAAGTGTTTATTATAGTTATTTTATAATCAAAGTTTCTTTATATAACTATTTGAGATCAAACATTATAAACAGATTTAAAAAATGTAAATTTTTTGGACCAAAATTGCACTCTGAGACCAATGTTAACAAAAAAAAATTTACTGAAAAAATATGACAAGTTTTTTATCTGTCATAGTATTCATGACTTTCTACTGCCTGGTACACGGTGTAAATCCATTTGTTGCAAGTCTTTCATAATTTTTTTGTCGAGTGATTTCGGGCTTTTGAGTAGACCCGCAGTTTTGACGGCCAATTTTATAAAAGTGCATAGACTCTAGCAACCCAAGCTGTACTGGCTTACTGACAAATTTAGTAAACGAGGCTTTCCTGGAATGCCAGCTCTCTGGCGCAAGTTTTCAAAAAGTTATAGCGTAAAATGTTACCCTGGTCTACTATAGTAGTCCGCGCGTGTACTCTAGTGTTAAAACTATTTAAAAAAACTTGTTTCTTTTAAGATTTATTATCATCTTAAAAGAAACAAGTTTTTTTATTATCATCTATTTACGTATGTTGTCCATTATTTATAGAAACACAATATTGAAACAAGACATTGGGCACTGTGATTTTTATCATTCTGTTTTAATCTTTTTATTTCATTTGTAGATATTCACTATAGCTGTCAGTGGCAATATTGCTAGTTATCTCCAAAACACTAACAAGGCTGTCGAGTGGCGTTACAACTTCCACATTGTGTCCATTGCTGCTACGGCCATAGTTTGCTACGTGTGGATCGTACCGCTGGCATTGTGGGCTGCACTAAAGTGGACTATCACTCCTGATGGGCATGATGAAATAGAAACACAGGTCAAGCATCTTTTAAACTGTTTAATTTTTATTATCTAGTATGTAATAAAAGACAATAAGTGTCACATACCTACTATAATATTAAATGAATTTTAAGATAAACATTATTTGTTACAGACCACGAAATCACCAACTATGATGTCTCTATTCTGTCTTTACGGATATTCTCTGTCGATATACATTCCTGTGGCCATCCTCTGGATGATCCAAGTGTTCTGGCTGCAGTGGCTGTTTGTGCTGATGGCAGCGTTTGTGTCTGGCGCTGTGCTTATTTTCTGGCTGCTGCCGGCTTTGAAAAAATCTAGATACTTCTTTATCCTCGTAGGCTGCATTCTCGGGCTCCACTTCTTGCTAGCCACAGGGTTCATGCTGTACTTTTTCCATACACCTAAAAGCTCGGTGAAAGCTATCACACCTATCGGGACTACATTGAAACCTATCTAATTATTTCGAAGTATTCTATTGTAATAATAAATCTAAGTTGATAGCTTCAAGACTAACTGTATTTAAAAGCAGAATATTCAATGTAGGTACATGTTGCTTTCATTGAGAGTTATGTATTAAGAGAAATCAACATAACTAGTTTTGATTATTTATTAACTTGACTATTTATTATTCAAACTTTCAGAAAGTAGTAGCAAGTAATTTCTATTAAATATCTATTACTGTATTATGGTTTTTGACATTCCTTTCGACATAATGCAAAGTAATTTGTGATATGATAATGTTTAATTAAATTTTCTTGTATTGTAGACAAAATAAAAGTTCCAAATAGTATCACAGTATTTTATTGTTTTTTTTTTGTATTCTTCACACTAGTGCACTCAAAATAATACACTTTTTTTTATAATACACCCTGTATATACATCTATTGACATAAATAAAAAACGTTTGACTTGGGTGATTATCCCACTGCAGTCCGCCGCAGTACGCGGGACGACAGATTTAATCATTATAATATGCAAGTATGTACCTCAGTTTGTATAGAAAACACGCGCGGCACAACACACTGACAAAACGAGTTTGCGCACGGAATGATTAAATCTGTCGTCCCGCGTACTGCAGCGGAGCGCGATGCAATGGGATAATCGCAGTAAAGCTAAGGTATTGACATCAGTTTTTAGGTAATGACTCACGCCCGTATTCACAAACATTACTATGAGGTCTCACAGTGCGCGTGGACGCACAGGGTCACACACGAACCAATCACAGAGCTCTATTCAACGCTGTGCGTTCGATTTGCTGCTTCACTTAAGCAAGCATCGTTTGTGAATACGGGCGTTAGTGCATCTAAAAACTTAAGAAAAAGAATCTTTTTTTTTACATGTCAAAAGCTTAATGGAGCTTTTGATATATTTTTTTATGTTTACTTATTGCCTACTGTTTTAGCTGTCGAACGAATTCACTTTTTAACTTATTGGCCCCGTACATCGGTAGATATTGTTAAATAAATGAATCCACTTGGACTCAGAAAAACAAAAAAAATCAATTACCTGCAATTTTTTAAAAGTAGGGAGAAAATGTTTTATTCCAGTAGATTTGTCGATAAAATTGATCATATTACTGCGACCTAATGGTTGGACAGTGGACACTGGTGACCAGACACACTGTATAATATAAATATCTTCTTTTTTGCCTGGCCCATTCCTATTTTGTTTATTAATATAATGACTATCTATAAATAAATTATATTACTTATGCTATAAATACATGTTCAGGTACATCAGTTGGTCTCAAAGAATGTTGTGATGTTAGGCTGGGATATTCTAGGCGCGGCGACTTCTTCAGCTGCAGTTTGGAACGCATTTAGTAGTTCAGTCTGTTCTGTAATAAGAATATTTCGTATTTTACAATTACATTACAATGGTAAAGTAACCTCATTATTTTAATATTTAAAATTATTATTAATTGATATCTAACTAACGAGAAGAATCGGATCTGCTTTAGCTAGCATATAAATAGTTCTACGGCTGCCCCAGACCGTATAATATCCACGGATTCGGATCGGACGTAGTGCGAAACCGTTCTAAAGAAGTCCAGTCGAATGAAGAGTAAATTTCGCGGATGTGCGACGGGCGGCCGCAGTGAGTGTGCGAGCCGACAGCAATATAATTACGCGCGGGCGATAAGGATAGGAAGGTTGCACAGCGTGCTATGGAGAGGGCTATGCTCGGTGTTTCTTTACGAGATCGAATCAGAAGTGAGGAGATCTGTAAACGAACTAAAGTCGCTGACATAGCCCGACGGATCATCAAGCCGAAGTGGCAACGGACAGGGCACACAGTACGCAGAACTGACGGCCGACGGGGCAGCCAGGTTCTGGAGTGGAGGCCGCTTAACATAAAACGCAGCGTGGGTCGTCCACCCACAAGGTGGGCCGACGACATCATAAAGGTAGCAGGAAGGCGCTGGACGCAGGCCGCTACCGACCGGGCAGCACGGAAAGCATCGGGGGAGGCCTACGTTCAGCAGAGGACGTCCTATGGCTGAGATGATGATGACGATGAGTATAGTCTGGTCTGTGAGCACGTAGAATTTTGTTCAATGACCTCAAGCTGCCCATCCTTGTCGCTCGCACGTAATTATGTTGCTGTCGCGCTCGCACACTCACTGCGGGCGCCCGTCGCACAGTCGCGACAGCAATATAATTACGCGCGAGCGATAAGGATGGGTAGCTTGGGGTCATTGGACGGGATTCTACGTGCTCACGGACCGGGGTCATTGGACAATATTCTACGTGGTCACGGAGCGGGCTTTAGTGCGGGGCGCTGACCTGGCCAGTCCGGGTAGCGGGTGCGCAGGCGCGCGGCGGCGTGCGCCAGGCGGCCCTCAGCAGGCCGCGCCGCCCACGCGCCGCAATTGATCGTCTCGGGGCCGCTTATTACGCGCGAGCGATAAGGATGGGTAGCTAGGGGTCATTGGACAATATTGTACGTGCTCGCGGACCGGGCTTTAAGTGCGGGGCGCTGACCTGGCCAGTCTGGGTAGCGGGTGCGCAGACGCGCGGCGGCGTGCGCCAGGCGGCCCTCAGCAGGCCGGGCCGACCACGCGCCGGCGCCTGCCCGTGCGAGCCCGCCGCGGCACGCCGACTCCAGTCTCTGGCGTTCTGGAAATAATTATTTAATCATTTTTAGGGTTCCGTAGCCAAATGGCAAAAAAGCGGAACCCTTATAGATTCGTCATGTCTGTCTGTCCGCCGTCCGTCTGTCCGTCCGTATGTCACAGCCATTTTTTTCCGAAACTATAAGAGCTATACTGTTGAAACTTGGTAAGTAGATGTATTCTGTTAACCGCATTAAGATTTTGATGCAAAAATAAAAAAATAATAATAAATATTGGGGGAAATAAAAAAAAATTTTTGAGTTTCACTAAGTATATCCCCATACTTAGTGAAACTCAAATATTTTTTTCTCATCAAACATACGTGTGGGGTGTCTATCGATAGGTCTTTAAAAATGATATCGAGGTTTCTAAAATACTTTTTTTCTAAACCGAATAGTTTGCGTGACAGACGCTTCCAAAGTGGAAAAAAGTTGACCCCCCCGTAAAGGTAAATACACTCGGCATCAAATAAATCGCACCTCCCGCAACAAGCACTTTTCAAACGTAGGCATCTCCACTTCCCAATAACATTGGTACCGTTCGAAAGCCTAGTTCTAAGCTTCATTTCATTATAGGAAAGGTTTTTTTTACCCCAAAAATGTGTCTTTAGAAGGATCCAGTCACTTCTTCAAAAGATAAGTAGTTACGTTTGAGACAATTTTTATGGCTATAAACCTCTAAAATTGGGATTAATCGCTATCGACCGAAAGAGGACACGTGAGACCATTATTTTATTCTATAACCACAAAAATTAGTCTACTTGGTCCCAGAGGTGAGCCCCAAGTGAAGCCTTTTTTAAAGTCATATTTATGGTACCTGTTAATTGTTTATAAAAAATTAAATGTGTTTTAAGATTATTTATTGGGCTTTCAAATAACACCAATATTGGTGGGGCACCATGATTTTGCCAGAAGAAAATCTTTAAAGTTCTCGTCGCGGAAGGTGCGATTTATTTGACGACGAGTGTAGTTCTGCTGCGAGAAAACAAGCAGTAAAAGGGCGTAGCAGGATAGTCTTGGAAAAAGTGCCCCCAAAGCCTGAAAAGCTCGAAACTGTGGTCAAACGATACTTTGTATAAAGATAGTATGTTGTCTACTACCAAAGGAAATCATTATACAGGGTGTTACAATTTTTATTTTTTTCCATCATGGAAGGTAGTTATAGAGCTGTTGTTTTTTTATATTATTACTATGAAACACAACTATACCTGTGCAAAAATTTAAATTCGTCAGTTACATAGTTTTGGAGAAAAAAAACAGTTTTAGGTATAGATGGGTGGCGTGGCTCCCTGGGGGGTGTTGGGGGGGGTGAAATTTTGCACAATATACTATCTTTATACAAAGTATCGTTTGACCACAGTTTCGAGCTTCAAGCTTTGGGGGCACCTTTTCCAAGACTATCCTGCTACGCCCTTTGACGGTGTACAAATAACAAATAATATTACCAGCCGCCGCCGGCGCCGCCAGCAGCAGCTCCACGCAGCAGCACAGCGCCAGCGCGAAGGCGCGCCACAGCGCCGCAAGGCACGAGCAGCTCCTACAAGAAGAGTTTCAGAAATAGCTTACTAAAATTATCTTTAACTAAAATAAAATTATTATTAAACAACTACGACAAAAAATGACGCTGAAAAAGTATAAAACAAGATTTTCAGAATACTGAACTGAACAAAGTTGCTAATGTAGTTGCATAGTAATTTTCATGTTTGGAAAACCGCAGTCACACGTTGTCAAAGTGCTACGGTAGGTAGGTTATATGTAACGTGTGACTACGCCTTTCCAAGGCGATAGAGAATTCAGCAAGTACCAGGGCGGCAGCGCGGGCGAGCGGTGGCCTTTCACCGCGCGCACGGCGATCCATTACGCGGCCGGGGCCCATCAATCGCGGCCGAAATAGACTAATTCAGGGCTCTTCAAACTTTTTTTACCAAGCAATTTGGCTAAAAACTACCCTAGTAACGTACGGGACTATTCCCACCGCTTCTAACTCCTGCGTAGCCAGGATCTACAGCTCGACCGCCAATAAAAACCCAACCGGTGAAGGTCAAGTTGGTCCCGGGGGCAAGTTTACTGTCACCGGACCCGCAACGAAATTAATCAGAAGAACGCAGGAGTTCGGCCGAAGGAGCTTGTAGGTATTCGAACGGTCAGTCAGTCTGTTATTCTTCAGTTGGGGTCGGGTTTCAACCAATTTTTGGTAGAGGGAAGCGCGAGCTGAGGGGAGTTTGATCCGAACGTCATTATTGTAGTGTGCGTGTGCACTCATGGATGATTTAGCGTGTACCGATAACACTCAAACATTATGCCTAGGTCGCACTCATCGCGATAACCCGAATATTCACGTTATCGCGATATGTATTCGCGAACCCTTCGGCACTTCGGGCGAAGCTTCGGGCTTATCGCTCCGCTATCGGTAAACTCTCGCACATCAAAGGGTTTTATCGCGATGAACTTCGCGGTGCGCGGCCACACTTCAGTCAGCCCGTACGCATCGGCAAAGCGGACGTGTTATAGTTTTCACTACAGTGCTGAACGAGCATGGATTGGAGCAAAGAAAAAATTTTAGAATTCATTGCGAATTATGAGGCTGAGCCGATATTGTGGAACCCATTAGAAACTGGCCATAAAATAAAAGATCTCTGCAATCTGATTTCTCAAATCTGATCTTGTTTTTGCGTTTGTACATCGCCATAACATTCGGGCGATAAACTTCGTCTATTATATGTGGCCGCGAAGATTCGCCGTAGCCCGAAGACGGAGTTTATCGCCCGAATGTTATCGCGATGAGTGCGGCCCAGGCATTAGTGGAATAATGGTGGGGCGCGTGTTCGTGGATGGAACGATGTGTAATAGGGTACAGTCTGGTCTGTGAGCACGTAGAATTTTGTCCAATGACCCCAAGCTGCCCATCCTTATCGCTCGCGCGTAATTATGTTGCTATCGCGCTCGCACACTCACTGCGGGCGCCCGTCGCACAGTCGCGACGGCAATATTTACGCGCGAGCGATAAGGATGGGTAGCTAGGGGTCATTGGACAAAATGAGGGCTATCGTTTTAGCGCTCACCAGTTAGCGCCACTGTAGAGTAAGGTCCTGTCACTTGCTAGTAGCGAAGACAGTGGCACCAACTGGTGAGCGCTAAAGTGGTAGGAGGACTATCGCATTTGCACTCATCAAGATGGCGCCACTGTAGGTAGAGTAAGGTCCTGTCAATCGCCAGGGGTGCCAACTGTTAAGTATAAAAACGATAGCCCTAATTGTACGTGCTCACAGACCGGGCTTTAGTTACCGAGCCTGCGGGCGGTCCAGCAGCTCGCTAAGCTGTCGCAGCGCGGCGCGCGCGCGGGCCCCGCTTCGGTGGCGCGCCGCCGCCGCCAGCGCCGCCTCCGCTTGTCCCAGCAGCGCCGGCAAACAGCACACGTCTAAAAAATAATCATAAAACTCATTTAGTACTTCCGCACACGCTGCCGACGCCGCGCTTTTATACTGCTTATACGCGCCGCGTGTTAAAATATGTATAATCTGTGATGTGAAGTTGGCAACACTGCCTATCTGTCAGTTGTGTGCAAGAAAATAAAAGTGAGCTATGGCGTCTTGAAAGTGTTCGTTTTATTTTATAAAGAAAGTTTATCATAATACTAAAAGGTTATGGGCACCTCAAATATATCGCTTCCGCAATTGTCTGCGGACAATTTCGGTCATTGGAAATTCCGAATTAGATGTTTGCTAGAAGAAAGGCAATTGATCGACACCTTGGACGATGACGAGGTAGATAAAAAGAGTGATTCGCGAGCCAAATCCATAATCGTACAGTGCATCACCGACAAACACTTAGATCTGGTGAAAGATGCAAAAACAACAAAAGAAATGTTTGCCATTTTGTGTTCTATTTTCGAGAGAAAATCCATCGTAAGCCGAATCCATATAAGGAAAAAGTTGCTAACCCTAAAACTGCAAAACACCGAAAAATTTGAGGAATATTTCCTGAAATTCGAATTAATAATCAGAGAATTAGAGAATGCAGACAAGAAACTTGATGAAGAGGAGAAAATTACCTATCTTTTGTTGGGACTTACTGAAAAATACAACACTGGTAACGGAAAGTTTATCATAATACTAAAACCGCGTAAAGCCCGCTGCCGCGTTACAGTTAGTGGACCGTAAAAATTATGCTTTGTCGGCGCGGTGGCGGCGTCGTGTGCAGGAGCGCTTATACCTACATAATATATAGGGCATGTAATATCGGAAGGTTTTCAATTCCGATATTGGATTCCGATATTAAATCTCAATATCGGAATTCCGATATTAATATCGGAATTGAGTTCATGTGTTATAAAATTAATATTTGGTTATATTCGTAAGAATTCTGGATTGTTTACAATAAAATAATGATTTTAATCAAAATCTTTAATTCGGTACAAAACAACACTTCATAAAATTGAGGTATTTTAAAACCATTTTTACGTTATGGGTATCCATTGCATTTGGTTGCTGATAATGAGCCTATATGGAGTAGCAAATAATTGTGTTTTTGTAAAATATTTTACTCCTTCGTGATATTACCCTGTTTTATGTTGGCGGAACGAATTTTAGAGTCATTCAAGTCACGTGTTACAAATATTGTAGTGTGATAAAAAAATTGAATATGCTTGTAATTTGTTCCTTTTTGATTATCGATGATCGGTGTTTTGTACAACTCACAAAACCACGAGCCATCATTATCATCATGTCAGCCATATGTATGACGTCCACTGCTGAACATAGGCCTCCCCTGCTGATTTTCACAATGGCCGGTTGGTGGCGGCCTGCATCCAGCGCCTTCCTGCTACCTTTATCGTCGGTCCACCTTGTGGTTATGAGTCCTATGCTGCGCTTGCCGGTACGTGGCCTCCACTTCAGAACCTTGCTGCCTCATCATCCGTCTGTTTTACGTACTAAGGCAGAACCGTTGAAAGACTTTATCACAATGCTCGAAGACCTTAATCGAGTCTCCCAACAGGTAAGACGTCGGATGAACATGGAAAAAACGAAGCTTATGTCGAATGTCCATGTTGCCCCATACCCAGGTTCGGTTAGGAGGAGCTCGATTCTCTAAATTGTTGACAAGAAAGTATGTCTATCTCGGACAAACGATTCAGCTAGGTAGTTAGATGCAATTTCGAGAAAGAGATAAATCGTCGAATACGAAGACGAAAGTCTTCAATTGGTGTGTGTTACCAGTGATGATATACGGCTCGGAAACGTGGCCTTTGAATATAGGCCTTATAAATAAGCTCAAAGTTGCACAGCGTGCTATGGAGAGGGATAAGCTTGGTGTTTCTTTACGAGATCTAATCAGAAATGAGGAGCTCCGTAAACTAACTAAAGTCGCTGATATAGCCCAACGGATTAGCGAGCTGAAGTGGCAATGGGCAGGGCACATACGGCACTGACGGTCCATAGTCCAGTAAAATTAATTTTTGAAAGGGAGTTGAGATGTTGTTCTTTGTTGTCCAAGTACCTATGGCAAATGCTAAAATTGATTTAGAACAAGTTAAATTAACCATAAATAGTAAAAATAATAAAATATTTGCAGTGGGACAAAAAGTGAAGGTGAGAGACATGAGAAAATCATTGGTCTTTGCCAATCATGTACTTTGGGCTTTGTGGCAGGTTGTGGCGAGTTTAAACGCTTTGTTTAAAAGCTCAATTAAATCTTTTATCTGATTCCGATATTACGAGATTGGATCGCTCAATATCGGAATTGAAATATCGGATCTCGCATTCCGAGATTCCGATATTACGAGATTCCGAGATTCCGATATTCATGCCCTAATAATATATCGTTTCATCCACGAAGACGCGCCCCACCACTTTTTGGTCGAGGGAAGCGCGGGGTGTGGGTAGTTTGATCCGAGCGTCATTATTGTAGTGTGCGTGTGCAGTCATGGATACTGTCATGTCTATGGATGACATCTCTATAGAAACACATTGTTTACTAATAAAAAATGATGGATTTATTAGCGGAATGCTGTATTATTTAATAATTGGCAACGTTGGGTAATTTTCTATAGAAGAAGTGTACGAGACAAGAAAAGAAAGAAAAATAAATATACAAAAGACCTCCTCCAAAGAGCCTCCCTGGACGAGACGACAGTCGTTTAGAATACGTAAAAGGGAAGTTACGACTTCTCTTCACTTTCTACACACTTTCCTGTCTATCCCTCCCTATGTATGCTTAGATCTTTAAAAAAAACTACGCAACGAATTGTGATGGGGATTTTTAATAGATAGAGTGATTCAAGAGGAAGGTTTATATTTTTTTTTAATAATAATAATAAATATGCTTGGACATTTTACACTGCGCTTCTAGTCCCAAACTAAGCAAAGCTTGTACTATGGGTACTAGACAACGGATATAAACATACTTAAATACTTTTTTTTTGTAAATACATACTTATTATACATAGAAAACACCCAGTCCAATACAAACAAATATGTTCATGCACACAAATGTTTGTACTGTGCGGGAATCGAACCCGCTACCTCCGGAATAGTAGTCCGTTTCGAACCACTACATCAAACGGCCGACATGCAAATTATAGAAGAGAAAAGCCGGGAAATTCCATTGCAACCGTGCGAAGCCGGGGCGGGCCACTGGTTAAAAATAAAATCAACTTCTAAAAAGGGTCAATAAAAAAAAAGTGTGTTGCCAGTTGGTGTACGGATCTGAGACGTGGTCGCTTACTATGGGCCTCATAAGAAGGCTCAAGGTCACCCAAAGAGCGATGGAGCGTGCTATGCTCGGGGTTTCCCTGCGTGATCGAATCAGAAATGAGGAGATCCGTAGGAGAACCAGAGTGACTGACATAGCCCGCAGAATCGCTAAAATCAAGTTGCAGTGGACGGGGCACATAGCTCGAAGAGCTGATGGCCGCTGGGGCAGGAAAGTTCTTGAGTGGCGACCACGAGCTGGAAGACGTAGCGTGGGCAGGCCTCCCACTAGGTGGACCGACGATCTGGTGAAGGTTGCGGGAGGTAACTGGATGCAAGCGGCGCAGGACCGGTCTTTGTGGAAATCCTTGGGGGAGGCCTTTGTCCAGCAGTGGACGTCTTTCGGCTGAAACGAACGAAAAAAAAAGTAGAAACGTACCTGAGTTAGTTTCGTCGTCGACATCCATCATTTCGCTGGGCCGCGGGCACGGCCATGCCGCGCGCGCCGGCAGCGCCGCCAACTCTAACAGCTTCAGAGCGAGGAACGGCGGCGGCTTGCAGCGCATCAGGCACACGACAAGTTGCAGGTCATAAGGCTCCTCCTCTTCTTCTATCAAATGTAGCCCGATCAACTCGATCAGTGCCAGAAGAAATCCACCGTACGAAGTGCTGCATGCCTGAAACGAAGTTCATACCCGTAACTACGAGTGGCTCAAATATTTTATGTACTAGCTTTTGCCCGCGGCTTCACCCGCGTGAAATTTAGTTTGTCACAGATCGTCATATATAGCCTATGTTATTCTGGGATATAAACAATAATACTAAAAGTTTCATCAAAATCCGTTCAGTAGTTTTTGCGTGAAAAAGTAACAATCATCCTGACATCCAAACTTTCGCATTTATAATATAAGTAGGATTTTCGTCTCGTGTTGTTTACTTTTTGACCACTTCCGGTGTCACGAACGCTGACAGTACAGGGTTAACTCACATCACATGTCTTCTGATTAATTTCATTGCAGGTCCAATGACAGTTTGACTTTCCCCGGGGCAAACTTACCTTCGTTGGTTGGGTTTTTATATGGCGGTCAAGCTGTAGATCCTGGCTACACAGGAGTTGCAGCGGGCTACCTAAATAAACTCCGGCAAACGTTACTTCGACATTACGTTACTCAGACAAAGGATATACGCTTTTGTCTGAATAGTGTAGTGTCGAAGTAAAGTCATGTCGATATTCAGTAGTGTCGGAGTAACGTAACGTCGAAGTAACGTTTGTCGGAGTAGAAATTTCCAGCCGTTGCAGCGGTGGGAACGAGAGGTGGGAATAGTCCCGAACTCACTTGTTTCTCTATCAAGATGCATATCTCGGTAGCCCACGTGAGTATGTGGTCCCACTGGTCGCGGGCCAGAGGCGGGTGCGGCTCCGAGGCCAGCGCTGCTAGTACCAGGCGCGAATTAAAGAATGACGACGAGAATTAATATAAAAAATAACTTNCAAATAAATAGGAAATATTTTTTTGCGGCTCACTCACTACGTTCAGCCATTTGCAAATCTAATAAGATGACAATGTTACTGTTCTAAAAACACTTAGCAAGGGATGTCAATATCAAAGATAGTTTTTTACCGAGTTACGCATATTTAAAGTGGCGCACGTGGTTGTGTCACAAAAACTGCTCACACAATGTTTGGTGTTCAAAATCAAAAATGGTAATTATTATTGATATAAATTTTTAACAGTCTTATATAACATGTATTAATCTTGCATAATTATTGTAATATTTATCAAAATAACATAACATCTCTTCAGAAAAAAATATTGTATGTCCAAATCCGGGAATCTCACACTACACGGTCCGTGACATTTTGGACTTGTAACTTTTTTTTAATATTCTTCTAATAGTTTTATGATAAAAATGATATTGAGATATTAAAATAGAGGTATTTTACTAAGTAAATTAATATACAGTGCACTGATTTTCTTTAAAAACATATGCTATTCTTACATCTCACACAAAAATGCGTAAGAATAAGAATGGCCCATTTTTGTATTTATTACTGCCAAGTCGTTTCGCATAAAGTTTTAGCACAGTAACATGGAGTTATCTATTGGTTTAGATATCGGTTTTGACGCAGCCCAAATCTTCCAGCTCCCAGTTTATTTGATTAACCTTAATAAGCATTCTAACAAAGGAAGCACCTTTCTCGCAGTTATGCTTACGTGTAAAAGATAATTAACTGCACTCGTCTACACGAGCCGGCTTTTCGTTTCTCGTCACACGTTTGACACACTTTAGACGAAATGCCCCGGCCGCCGGTTTGTGTACCGTGTGAACTGTGAATGGGCCTAGCGGAGTGGATGTTATGCTGGCATCTGTGTAAACTGACCTTCGACGCTTGCTGACCGTCAGTTGTCGCAAAAACGTCGTCATAAACACGTTTGGTATGCTTTGATCGGATTAGCAACGCAGGCGCAAGGCAATATCTTGTTGATATTGACTGATTTTACGACATTCTCGAAACGTTATACGATCCGAATGAAAATGAGACGTGCTATAAAAATGTGATAACACTCTCTATCAACATTCAATATTATCTTTTCCCGGATTCCCCACAATGTAAACACGTATCCCTAAAACTACAGAGACATTAAATGAATCATATTAAGCTTCATTTACTTTACTTCAAGGGAGGTCGTCCTTTAAAAATAAACGGTCTGTCTAAAATGTGTGGTGGTCTAGTTAAAAATATACGCTCATTTGGGTAATCATTTTTGCCACGAAATGCTATAAAATGTGTTCTTTAAGTTCGTGATGTAGACTAGGTAAATATTGTAGGTTTCTGCGAAAGCGAACGTTCTTTACGTTTGTTTGTAGAAAATTTTGTTTTTCATCTTGTTGCCCGGCAGGCAATAACCCTAAGTTAGTTGACTCTACCTAACTATCTAACGTCTATGATATCCTGTATAGGTACTTCCTTCTACTGGAGATATTTATAATTTTAACTCATTAGATACCTGCTAACTTTATTCAGTCAGCGCTATGCTATGCCTAAATGAAAATGCTGAAAAACCAATAAATTCTGAAAACGTTTCATCTCAATCACTCTACTTAATGTAGAGAATTTAATTAAGATCATGCAGTAAACATACTGTAATTAGGTCTGCTTTAACAACTACAGGTGAATAAAGCCATTGCGGTATTCCAAATAGCGTTGTAGCATTTGCTAAAAGGTTGCTTGTTCAATAGACGCGAGCCGGTCCTTTCCATCTACGGCACTCTGTTCGTAGACCGCTCGTTGTGTGACTCAGTAGAGCCGACACAGTGCCGGCCGTGTCGCCTTTGTAGTGTGGGGAATTAGCACCGTTATCAAAATGGCGGGCGCTCGGCTGGCAAGCGTTGCAACGCGGTCGTTGACGCCGCGCGGGGCGCGGGATGGCCGCCATCGATTCGGACCGAGCGGGGACTTTGCGCGGCATCTAGCGGCGACAAATGGAATGCAAAGCGCCTGCTTGCTGCCAATAGATGGCGCTGATTAGGGTTGCAAGATAAAAGCAAGCAGGTGGAAAGGTTCCTATCCTAGGGGAATGCTAGAAATTAATAAAAATTAAATTAAGCATGATATTATGTAGACGGTTACCCTCACACCTGCCCTTATAGGTCAGCAATTTATGCATTGCCGTTGGCAATTTCCTAAACTTGATTAATTTACTGAACCACATATTTGATTACATTTCTCGCACGATTTAGGAGTTTAGAGAACTAAGTAAAGCGATATTCCTCTTATCCCTAATGAAATGACGTATTCTTTTGTCAACAGTGCAAAGACTTCGAGAAAGTGGGCGCCACCATCGCCGTGACGCCGTGCGACGTGGTGGAGGAAGCAGACATCACATTCTCGTGCGTGGCCGACCCTCAGGCTGCGAAGGAGGTATGAGCAAGCTGCTTGCCGAATTTAGGCTCTATGGAAGTCAAAAGTCAAAATTTCTTTATTTGTTTAGACCAGGGTTTCCCAATTTTTTTTGCCAAGGAACCCTAATTGATTATACTTTTCCTAGCGGAACCCTACTTTGATAAATGGAAATTTAAATGAAAAACAATAAAGATTTTATGCAATTATTTGTAAACAAGTCGGTGCGCGCGAACAACGTCGGTCACGAAACGTGGGATAATATTTTTTTATGGAACCCTTGCGGCCTTTCCACGGAACCCCAGGGTTCCGCGGATCACCTTTCGGGAACCTCTGGTTTAGACTAATAAATATAGTGCTTACAAATCGTCATTTTGCTCTTAAGGAGCCTCTACATGTCTCATAATCTTTTTACCCTACCAGCGCTTCGAGACCAACATTTGGCAAGTGCTGAGAAGAAGTGCCCCAACAAACTCAGTCACCACTGTCTGCCGGTTAATATAAATAAATAGAAATAGGCCTGTATGTGTATATTGACGCAGGACACTAATGATTCCCTGAGTTGGCTAAGGTCGTTAAATCAATCATAAGTCAATGACTGTAAGTCAATGAAGTCATTTCAAGATTCTGTGACTCCACATTGAATAGTGGTGGATCACTTAATTTCTGTGATTTGAATAGGCGTGACTCAGATAGTGATAGAAACAAAATTTATCTGACTTACTTGGCCATACGACCTTTACTACTTTTGATTGATGGGGTTCCTAAGTCGCAGTCAGTCATTTGACAAGCTGTACGCCTCTGCCATAGAAATACTACCTCATCATAATCCATCATGCATCAATCGCTCTTTTAAAATATGAGTCACAATTTCCATGCAATATCATGAACCTATAATCTAAATAAAAACAGTAGCTGAAAGATAAAAGAGATATTTTAGGCATAAACAAGACGACCTATAAATCTGCAGTATTTGTTGACCCATAAAAGTTTAAGGGTATATCAATCCATATCGAAAGTACCAAGTTTCGTAGTACGATGATACATGGGCGTTCAGGGAATCGCGAAGCGGGTTTGCAACATTTACGATGTTTACGGGGGAAGCTGTAAAACACGACCTTCGGCGATGTTCGCACTATTACAAATCCATATTTAAAAATGTTACGCGATTCGTGCGCGTGCAGATTGTTAATGGAACGGGGTGCAGACGCAGGAAACTGCGGTTCCGTGCTCGGTTATAGCAGCTGGACGCAGTCGTCACCACCAAAAAAACAAAATTTTCCGCCTGGACTTATCTTTCTTTTTCAAAACATACAGGCTATGTATCATAAGATATTACTAAAATAAAATTTAAAAAAGACAACCTAGCGCTTAAAGGAGGAAAAAATATATTAAGATATTTATAGCATCCTTTGCAATTTCACAAATCTCATCTATTTTGCATACAGACATCCATATAGCATGAGGATAATATGTCAAAAATATACGATAAAACAGAAAACGTATATAAAAACATTTTAATCACCGCTTTGGGATGGGCACCCATAATAATAAATACTCCCGCAAAGGTCAGTCCATTAGAACATGAAGCCGCCCCGCTGACCTTACCTGCGCGACCTTTACGCGAGTACCCAGCACTGGCCCGCTTTATTTCCATCCGCGCCATGTATAAACACACTGAATTGATAACTAATTCCAGGTGCGATGGCAAAAATTGAGGAAAATTTTACCTCGGATTTTGTGCGATCCGGTTCAACCGAATTTCCAAAGGCATCCTTTTTTTGGATTAAGCATTATTTGTTTTTGAGCAGTGCTGGCTGGGTGCATTTAATGCATGATGTTGCTGTAGGAATTCCTCGTGACATAAGTTAGGTACTGCTTCGGAAGGCACGTCGATCCTGAATTCCTGAGTCTCATTGTAGATAAAGACCTATCACGAATTAAAGGCACCCAGGCAATACGACATTTATCACGATTTAAAGATGTCCCAGCAGATTTCTTCCTATTCCTTCATACTTTAATTAATTGTAATTGTTTTTCCATTGGCCTTTGTCGGTTTAGTAGATGAACACAAAAGCATTGTTTTCCAGATGGTCTTCGGCAATTGCGGAGTGCTGCACTGCCCGACTTTGGAGTCGAAGGGCTACGTGGAAATGACGTCGATTGACGCTGACACCTCACACGACATTGTCGAGGCCATCAGCGGGAAGGGCGGCAGATATCTGGAGGCACAGGTTAGTATACAAATCAGACACGACTAGAGAGAGAAGGGCATTTTAAACTGTACGTCTCGAATAAACAATTTATACTCGACTCGTATAGACTGTACGTCGAAATCGTTTACATTGAAATCAAATCAAAATCAAAATTTTCTTTATTTGTTTAGACTAATTAAATTAGTTCTTGCAAATCGTCAAATGCTCTTAAGGAGCCTATACATGTCTCATTCTTTTTTTGCCCTACCAGCGCTTCGAGACAAACATTTGGCAAGTGCTGATTAAATTCTCGAATCGGTCGTCCGATTCCTTCTATAATTTTCTTTCTCTTCTATAACTTTCCAGAATATAAAATTTTAAAGATCTGGAACTTTACCTAACGGTTACGAATCGTTACAAATATTTTTTTTACTTACCTGGTTTTGTAAAATTGAGATATTTGTGTCAGCCAACTCATCTAGCCTACGTAGGGAGTAAAGGACATATCACACTTGATGCGACTGCGGTCAAGGTCAAAGTAATCTCATACATGATGCGGGCTGCGTTTACGTTGACCTGACCGCAGATCGCATCCAGTGTGATAAATCCTAAAAGGCTAAATCCACCATTTGCCTCTGGTAAATTTTAAAGTTTGTCATGTTTCCATAGTAAAGACTAAGGGAGAAGTCACACGGTGCGGTGCGGGAGCGGCGTCCGGCATAAAAAATACAACGCACCGCTGGCACACCGCATTTCGATTGAGCGAAACGGTGCTGTATTGCGGCGCCGCATACCATATGTGTACAGTGCACCGCACCGTGTCGCTTCTCACCAAATGACCCTGATGATGATGATTACCTGTAGAGGTGTAGCATAAGAAAATGCTTAAGTGTTTCTATGTTGTCCCCAGATCCAAGGCTCGAAGACACAAGCGGAGGAGGGCACGCTGATCATACTGGCGGCCGGCGACCGCTCGCTGTTCGACGACTGCCAGTCGTGCTTCAAGGCGATGAGCAAGAACTCCTTTTACCTTGGTAGTAGTCAGCTTCTCCAGTTGCTGGCGCGAGGAAACTTGCCCGCTGACACTTGCACTCGATAGCATAGCTCGCACGATACTTGCTTTTGGTTTGATGATGTTGAATTTAGAGTGATAACGATCTGTGGTAATTAATAGCTATACCATTAGATCAAATTTTAAAATAAATTAGTCGAGGATTCAGTATAAGGACTATAGGGACAGACAAATATATTTCACAGTACCATCCATATTTACAGTTAGATTTCATCTTACTGTGTGAGAAGTTAGAAGTTTTTCGTTGAGAATTCCAAAAACAGTGATTTATTTGTACTTCATTATTATCTTGTTTTTATTATCTTACTCATTTTAATGTCTAAACTCTAAAGCATAAATTTTTAAGCTGTGTTATCATTTTTGGTATGGCTTCAGCAAATAAAAACGTACTATTTATACAGCTATGTTTCTGTGTGTGTGATATGCATGAATCTTCACTTGTTTGAAGGCTTGAGTCACCCCTTTTTTTGTAAAAACTTACCCTGGGTTGCACCATCTTACATTAACTATAACAAACGTCAAAAAACTGTCAACGTGCATACAAAAACACCGGTTATAGTTACGGTTAAAGTTAAGGTGGTGCAATTTTAGGCTAGTGAGTTAATTCTTTAGAACTTGCATGCATTTCCACATCTTCAATCCATAAGTGAGTGTATTTTAATAGTAAAATCACCAGTTTTCAATGAAACATGTAAATAATTCATAACTTATTTCATGAATTAGTAAGAGAAAAGTGTCAGCAGTCAAATCCGACCGTCCAAATTAGATCAATACTTATAGCATCATGACGGCATGAAATATTAAAAAAAAAATCCCAAATTATACAGTTACGTATTTTTACTCCAGACAGAAAAGTAGTAAAAACAAGGCATAATAGAAAGATGTTTTTCCAGTTTGTGATTTACTTTACTATTTATGTTATTTACCAATTTTCTTTATTTATATCTAACAGTGATTTCTTACGTGCCTGCGATGTGTTCGTTAACATGGACTTGAAATAATTAGTCTGGCTTGGGAATTAATTTCTCAAATGAATGGTAAAAGAACCATGGAGACAATTTTGTTTTGTGTGGAACAGTACATTGAATGATGCTTTTTGTCGCTTTCCAAAAGCTTGTGGTTGACGCTCGGATCAAAATCCTCGCAACCCCGCGCTTCCCTCGACCAAAAATTGGTGGGGCGTGTCTTCGTGGATGCCCCTATCTAATACTTCAACTAAACCAACGCGTGCAGATTGCCATCGCCGACGCGATCATAGGCCAATGACAGGACGCGCGACATGTCATTGACCTACGATTACGTCAGCGATGGCGATCTGCACGCGTTAGTGTGGTTGAAGCTTATCGGCACGTGGTATACACATGTTAGTCGAATTTCACGGGCTCCTATGTCAAATGATGTCCTATGCTTATTTATTCGTTCGTTCGTTTCAGCCGAAAGACGTCCACTGCTGGACAAAGGCCTCCCCCAAGGATTTCCACAAAGACCGGTCCTGCGCCGCTTGCATCCAGGTACCTCCCGCGACCTTCACCAGATCGTCGGTCCACCTAGTGGGAGGCCTGNAATAATATATCGTTTCATCCACGAAGACGCGCCCCACCACTTTTTGGTCGAGGGAAGCGCGGGGTGTGGGTAGTTTGATCCGAGCGTCATTATTGTAGTGTGCGTGTGCAGTCATGGATACTGTCATGTCTATGGATGACATCTCTATAGAAACACATTGTTTACTAATAAAAAATGATGGATTTATTAGCGGAATGCTGTATTATTTAATAATTGGCAACGTTGGGTAATTTTCTATAGAAGAAGTGTACGAGACAAGAAAAGAAAGAAAAATAAATATACAAAAGACCTCCTCCAAAGAGCCTCCCTGGACGAGACGACAGTCGTTTAGAATACGTAAAAGGGAAGTTACGACTTCTCTTCACTTTCTACACACTTTCCTGTCTATCCCTCCCTATGTATGCTTAGATCTTTAAAAAAAACTACGCAACGAATTGTGATGGGGATTTTTAATAGATAGAGTGATTCAAGAGGAAGGTTTATATTTTTTTTTAATAATAATAATAAATATGCTTGGACATTTTACACTGCGCTTCTAGTCCCAAACTAAGCAAAGCTTGTACTATGGGTACTAGACAACGGATATAAACATACTTAAATACTTTTTTTTTGTAAATACATACTTATTATACATAGAAAACACCCAGTCCAATACAAACAAATATGTTCATGCACACAAATGTTTGTACTGTGCGGGAATCGAACCCGCTACCTCCGGAATAGTAGTCCGTTTCGAACCACTACATCAAACGGCCGACATGCAAATTATAGAAGAGAAAAGCCGGGAAATTCCATTGCAACCGTGCGAAGCCGGGGCGGGCCACTGGTTAAAAATAAAATCAACTTCTAAAAAGGGTCAATAAAAAAAAAGTGTGTTGCCAGTTGGTGTACGGATCTGAGACGTGGTCGCTTACTATGGGCCTCATAAGAAGGCTCAAGGTCACCCAAAGAGCGATGGAGCGTGCTATGCTCGGGGTTTCCNCGCGCGTAGTGTCGAAGTAAAGTCATGTCGATATTCAGTAAGTGTCGGAGTAACGTAATGTCGAAGTAACGTTAGAGCTGATCTCCCCTGCCCTTTTGTCCCTATGTCTGAGAGTCCTCCGCCTGGACATGAGCTCCCCTGGCTTACCTGGAAGTCTTTAAATAGACTTCGGACGCAGGTTGGCCGTAAGGGCAATCTGGTCAGGAGGGGATTCTTGGATGGCTTAAACATGGAGTGCAGGTGCAGTTTTGTTCCCCAGTCGATGAAGCACCTGATGTCATGCCCTGAGTGCCCAAGCAACTGCACTCAGGAGGATTTGATGAGTGCTGCTGACAACGCCACTCTTGTGGCGGAGTTTTGGGCTGACACTGTGTAGGTTTGTTGTCGACACGAAAAGAAGAAGTAACGTTTGTCGGAGTAGAAATTTCCAGCCGTTGCAGCGGTGGGAACGGGAGGTGGGAATAGTCCCGAACTCACTTGTTTCTCTATCAAGATGCATATCTCGGTAGCCCCCGTGAGTATGTGGTCCCACTGGTCGCGGGCCAGAGGCGGGTGCGGCTCCGACGCCAGCGTTGCTAGTACCAGGCGCGCGTAGTGTCGAAGTAAAGTCATGTCGATATTCAGTAGTGTCGGAGTAACGTAATGTCGAAGTAACGTTAGAGCTGATCTCCCCTGCCCTTTTGTCCCTATGTCTGAGAGTCCTGAGCCTGGACATGAGCTCCCCTGGCTTACCTGGAAGTCTTTAAATAGACTTCGGACGCAGGTTGGCCGTAGTAAGGACAATCTGGTCAGGTGGGGATTCTTGGATGGCTTAAACATGGAGTGCAGGTGCAGTTTTGTTCCCCAGTCGATGAAGCACCTGATGTCATGCCCTGAGTGCCCAAGCAACTGCACTCAGGAGGATTTGATGAGTGCTACTGACAACGCCACTCTTGTGGCGGAGTTTTGGGCTGACACTGTGTAGGTTTGTTGTCGACACGAAAAGAAGAAGTAACGTTTGTTGGAGTAGAAATTTCCAGCTGTTGCAGCGGTGGGAACGAGAGGTGGGAATAGTCCCGAACTCACTTGTTTCTCTATCAGGATGCATATCTCGGTAGCCCCCGTGAGTATGTGGTCCCACTGGTCGCGGGCCAGAGGCGGGTGCGGCTCCGAGGCCAGCGCTGCTAGTACCAGGCGCGCGTAGTGTCGAAGTAAAGTCATGTCGATATTCACTAGTGTCGGAGTAACGTAATGTCGAAGTAACGTTAGAGCTAATCTCCCCTGCCCTTTTGTCCCTATGTCTGAGAGTCCTCCGCCTGGACATGAGTTCCCCTGGCTTACCTGGAAGTCTTTAAATAGACTTCGGACGCAGGTTGGCCGTAGTAAGGGCAATCTGGTCAGGTGGGGATTCTTGGATGGCTTAAACATAGAGTGCAGGTTAGGGCATGAATATCGGAATCTCGGAATCTCGTAATATCGGAATCTCGGACTGCGAGATCCGATATTTCAATTCCGATATTGAGCGATCCAATATCGTAATATCGGAATCAGATAAAAGTTTTAATTCAGATTTTAAACAAAGCGTTTAAACTCACCAAAACGTGCCACAAAGCCCAAAGTACATGATTGGCAAAGACCAATGATTTTCTCATGTCTCTCACCATCACTATTTATGGTTAATTGAACTTGTTCTAAATCGATTTTAGCATTTGCCATAGGTCCTTGGTCAACAAACAAAGACATCTCAAGCTCAACTCGCTTTCAAACATTAATTTTACTGGACTATGGACCGTCAGTTCTGCGTACTATGTACCCTGCCCACTACCACTTCAGCTTGCTAATCCGTCGGGCTATATCAGCGACTTTGGTTAGTTTACGGAGCTCCTCATTTCTGATTAGATCTCGTAAAGAAACACCAAACTTATCCCTCTCCATAGCACGTTGTGTCATAAATTCAAATGCCACGTTTTCGAGCCGTATATCATCACTGGTAACACACACTAATTGAAGACTTTCACCTTCGTATTTGACGATTTATCTCTTTTTCGAAATTGCATCTAACTACCTAGCTAATCGTTTGTCCGAGATAGATATACTTACTTGTCAACAATCTCGAGAATTGAGCTCCTAACCGAAACAGGGTAAGGGGCAACATGGACATTCGACATAAGCTTCGTTTTTTCCATATTCATCCGAAGGCCTACCTGTTGAGAAACTCGATTAAGGTCTTCGAGCATGTCTTCTGTGATAACGTCTTCCAACGGTTCTGCCTTAGTACGCAAAAGAGACGGACGATGAGGCAGCAAAATTCAGCAGTGGAGGCCACGTACCGGAAAGCGCAGCGTAGGTAGTAGCGTACTCATAACCACAAGGTGGACCGACGACCTCATAAAGGTAGCAGGAAGGCGCTAGAGTCAGGCCGCCACCAACCAGCCATTGTGAAAATCAGCATCGGAGCCTGTGTTCAGCAGTGGACGTCCTATGGCTGATATGATGATGATGATGGCTCGTGGTTTTGTGAGTTGTACATCGATAATGAAAAAGGAACAAATAACAAGCATATTCAAGTTTTTTACCACTCTCTACAATTTTTGTAACACGTGATTTGAATGACTCTAAAATTCATTCCTCCAACATAAAACAGGGTAATATAATGAAGGAGTAAAAGTTTGTTTAATACCTGTGATTTTACAAAAACACTTTAATTATTTGCTAGGTCCGTCTGCTCGTTTGCCTCTTGTCACATAAAAAACCAAATGCAATGGATACCCATAACGTAAAAATTGTTTTGAAATACTTCAATTTTATGAAGTGCTGTTTTGTACCAAATTATAGATTTTGATTGAAATCATTTTTTTTTTTTTTTTTTTATCCACAACGAGGAAGCTCTTGGCCTATTATTTTATTGTAAACAATCCAGAATTCTTACGAATATAACCAAATATTAATTTTATAGCATATGAACTCAATTCCGATATTAATATCGGAATTCCGATATTGAGATCTAATATCGGAATCCAATATCGGAATTGAAAACCTTCCGATATTACATGCCCTAGTGCAGGTGCAGTTTTGTTCCCCAGTCGATGAAGCACCTGATGTCATGCCCCGAGTGCCCAAGCAACTGCACTCAGGAGGATTTGATGAGTGCTGCTGACAACGCCACTCTTGTGGCGGAGTTTTGGGCTGACACTGTGTAGGTTTGTTGTCGACACGAAAAGAAGAAGTAACGCTTGTCGGAGTAGAAATTTCCAGCCGTTGCAGCGGTGGGAACGAGAGGTGGGAATAGTCCCGAACTCACTTGTTTCTCTATCAAGATGCATATCTCGGTAGCCCACGTGAGTATGTGGTCCCACTGGTCGCGGGCCAGAGGCGGGTGCGGCTCCGATGCCAGCGCTGCTAGTACAAGGCGCGCCGCCACGCCGCGCTCGCCGCGGTACAGCGGGAAACTACCAACGTAGATAGAAAGAAAGAAAGATACATTTATTACAATGGACGGACATCACACAAATACAGGCAATTACATAGACATGACAGTGGCACATAATAATGGAAGAAGAAAAAATAAAAACAAGAGTAAACTGAGCAGTGCCACCCATCCACCAACAAGATGCCCACTGCTACGGGACCCCACTCAGCATATGCCCACGGTGACGAAGGCCACACGGCGCTGGTTTTCAGTGTGCTCCATCCCCATAGATTGATAAAACTCATTTATTTTTGCAAACAGGCTTTTAAAAGCAAAGTAACCGAATTGTAAATTATAACTTGAAAAACATCGAACTAGGTAATAGGGATGTTTCCTGGGAAAAAAAGCAAGAGTTTGAATTCGAGTCCGTCGTTTAACTTATCTAACAATACTGGACACGTATTTTTCACTTTTTGAAACTAATCAAAATTTAAAGAGATCAAGCGCGCCATAGTTTAAAAGAAGAGGCCCGTGACGTCAAGGCGTCCTTAAAAGTGTAGCACTTTTTGACGTCACGCGGAACTTCAATACATCATCACTTCGTAATTACTTGTTAAAAATATACGTGTCCAATATTTTCTGATAATGTAATTGACGGACTAAAAGTTTTTTTTAGGAAACTAGCTCCTAGGGCTTATGGCCATTAGGGCAGAAAGTTATCGAGCGGCAACGACGAGGATAGTGTGGGCAGGCCTCCCGCAAGCTGGACCGACGATCTGGGGAAGGAAGTACCTACCTGGCTGAATGCGAGCAGCGTAGAACGGCTTTTTCCCAACTAGTCACACCCAAACGAATAACCCTGTTACTCATAGGGAATTTTTGTACGAGTCGCACTCGTACTGATCACAAACATTAAAAATGAATCGCAAAATGTGTTGGTAAGCGCAAAACTCAACAACGCCAAGCCCTAGTACCAATTACCAATTCTTTTTTTAAAACCTTACAGTAAGAAAATACTAACGAGTAGGGATGTGACTGGATGGGATTTTTTTCACAACGAGTTACATACAGGGTTACTCGTTTTGGTGTGACTGATTGGAAACAAGTGCGTAGAACCGGTTGTTGTAGAAATCTTTAATGGCGCATTTTCATTAGTCGATAACTCGTTCGGTATAACGACCAATGAAAGTTGCAAGTCGATACGCGTTCGGTACAACGCCTGCGGGGATTCCCCGCATGCATTATACCGACCGTGCTATCGACCAATGAAGTCATCATTCAGATTTTCTGACGCGTCATGCCTGTTTCTATTTTTTAGTAAACTTCGCACCCAGATTGCGGGCCCTGTGGCACGCGTTCCAGAAATCTCTCGCACTCCGCATGCGGACCCTATCGACGAATGAAAACGGTTCCCCGAATGCGGGCCCTGTGGCATGCGTTCCAGAAATCTCTCGCGCTCCGCATGCGGATCCTATCGACTAGTGAAATTGCGCCATAAGGGGGCCTATGTCCAGCTGCAGTCTGAAACGCTAGAAAAGAACTCACACATCGCGGAGGCGGTCCAGCGACACGTCGGGCCCCAGGGTGTCGGGCTGCGGCTCGTCGACGTCGGCCGGCGCTCCAGCTTCCAACTCCCACTTCAGCTCGCGCAGACTTCCTAATACTTCCGATAGCTGCATATAAAACACAACAATTGTATTGCAATTTATTCGAGTGGCGACCACGAGCCGGAAGACGTAGCGTGGGCAGGCCTCCCACTAGGTGGACCGACGATCTGGTGAAGGTCGCAGGAAGTGCCTAGATGCGAGCGGCGCAGGACCGGTCTTCGTGGAAATCTTTGGGGGAGGCCTTTGTCCAGCAGTGGACGTCTTTCGGCTGAAACGAACGAACGAACTACAAAATAACTATCGAAAATTATGTAAAATTTTATATGACCTCTATAATATGAAGATAAATAATTATTATAATAACATACCTGTGAATTGCCATCCTTCTTTGTTGGGGTGTGAAAGTCACCTGCAAGCAACCAGGGGATATTAACTGCCAATGTATAACGAATAAGCGTCACCAGTTAGCTCGCGCGCATGCAGCGTCAGAGGACATGCGAGGCGTGCGTTCGCGCAATTTTAGCATGGGCCCATTATGCCAGGGTTTCCCAATTTTTTTTTGCCAAGGAACCCTAATTGATTATACCTACTTTTCCTAGCGGAACCCCCGTACTACTCCGCCCGCACGCCCTGCCCCTCCCTTGTGCGTAAACAAGTCGGTGCGAGCGAACAACGTCGGTCACGAAACGTGGGATAATATTTTTTACGGAACTCTTGCGGCCTTTCCATGGAACCCCAGGGTTCCGCGGACCACCATTCGGGAACCGCTGCATTATGCCATAAGGCAGTGTTGTTCAACCTGTGGGTCGCGACCCCCTGGGGGATCGCCAAGCCTCTATAAGGGGGTCGCGAGAGGTCGTAAAAACTAATTATGCAAATGGATAAATGTTGTATGGATTGAAATATTCGATTCCTACAGCATTTTTGTAATATTATAAAAGCCATGGGAAAAAAAAACGAGCGGTCGGGGGGTCGCAAAATATTTTTTCATACTATGGGGGATCGCGTTATGAAAATGGTTGAAAAGCACTGCCTTAAGGTATATGATGGGACGTCGTCTGTACATCACTAAGCACATAGTATAAAACAAGGTCGCTTTCCGCTGTCTGTCTATTATGTACGAGTATACTAACACCCGTATTCACAAACGATGCTTGTTTAAGTGAAGCAGCAAATCGAACGCACAGCGTTGAATAGAGCTCTGTGATTGGTTCGTGTCTGACCCTGTGCGTCCGCGCGCACTGTGAGACCTCACAGTAATGTTTGTGAATACGGGCGTTAGATCTTTAAAACTATGCAACGGATTTCGATGCGGTTTTTTTAATAGTTAAGAGTGACTCAAGAGGAAGGTTTATTGTATAAAACATGCATTATAAAGATGAGAAAAGCCGGGAAATTCCAGTGCAACCGTGCGAGACGAGGCTGGCCGCTAGTTTTTAATATAAATCGTAATGTATGTATATCATATGTGTGAACAGTATTTACCTCTTCTACGATATTTATTGAGTTTGATGAAGGGAGCTTTGTCTTCTGTTTGTATGCTACTGGATGTAGTCTGAACTTTCTTTTGCTGAGTCATACCATCATTCAGACCAGCGACAGTATTGTTGTTTCTATGACTGAAATATATTTATATGCATCTATGAACTTTGAGCAGACCCATAATTTTGTTCCATGAAAATTAATTAATGGTACAGTTTCACTGAATCTCGTCTTTCTGACCTCACTCACCTTAATATTTCATTCTGTCTAAGTTTGTTGGCCTCTAACTTTTTAAACTTGTCTTTAACATTTAAAATTTCCAAGTCCTTAAATTCCAACTGAGACTTCAGGCTTTGCAACTCTCGCGTCATTGCTGCCATCTTCTCATCACACTCCATCTGAACTCTTTCCTGAGCCCTGATCTTGTCCATTCTGGCATTATCGTTGGCTAACTGAGACGCTTTTAACTGACTTCGCAAAATAGACGCCTCACCCTCCTTTGTGACAACTTTATCGGATAACTTTCCATATTCAGATTTTAATTTATTGTTCTCCTCTTCTAATAGAAGCAGCCGTCGCCATACATCAGAATCGTCTCCCGACACAATTTTGTCACTGATTGCCAAGTCGTCGGTGATACTGGGAGGTCTGTTGTGAGACATAGTGGATATGCCGGGTAGCGGTGATGATATTGTGTTACATTTATACTTTAGGTGAACGGAGGCTGGGAGTTTGGAACTAGGCTTTTTAAACTCAAATGAGGCTTTGGAAGTGCTGGGACTTGGCTGATACTGTGTGCTGGTGGATGCTGGTTGCTTCCAATTACTGTAGTCGGGTAAAATACTAATATCATTTGATTCTTCATCGCAAGCTTGGCTCGCTTGAAGTAAAATTTCATCATCAGCATCATCGCCCCATACATCACACTCGTTTTCTACAAAAATTAACACATGCCAAACTAAAACAACATATTAACTATGTACATAATTTTTCAAAAAGCTAATTACTTATGTAAGCTATTGGATGTAATGGCATTACATCACATAGCTGTTTAGTAGGTATGTAGCGTTTCAAAGATTTTTAAAGAAAACAAATGAAAATGGTATTTTTTCCTCGTGATAATGTACAAATGAAACTCTTGGTCATGTCACATTACAATGGGTTTCAATAAATTATTAAAGTATCATACAAAAAAAATCAAAACACCACATAACACAAAAAAGCTATGAGGAGCGAATATGTTTACCCTGCCATGGACCGTTCTCTCTATGTGTTATAGGTATGGTCACGTAACATTGGCAAATGTGAAATCATAATAGCCAAAGAGAAGGGCCAAAGACCGATGTCCAGCTGTGGACCACGCTGGCATTTTTAAATTCATTAGCACAATTTACTTGTAGTCTAAACTTTTCAAATATCACTACAATCTGTGTTGTTCTCTAGTGAGAATGATCCATGACATTACTATGATTTATCCCAATGTTTTAGTAAATTAACTACCTACATATTAACCAGAAACTGACAACCTTGCAGTCCAGGTGTACCAAAAGGTGTGCACTAAAATGGAACATATTTGACAGAAAATTTTTAGCACAGGTTTTAAAAGGACAAAAAATACTTGCACTCGAAGCTGAACATAATAAGTGAAAAATTTTCAAGTAGCAATTCTATACCAAAAAATTTGGCTAAGCCTGAAATACCCTTTGCTACACCTCTAGCTCTTTGTTTGTTAGGTCTAAACCCTATAACCCTCCTTTGGGCTGCACATGTTTTAGTCTTAAAGAATAAGAGTCTGATGATAACCTAAAACACTTACCTTGTATAATAGAAAAACTGCTGTTTTGTTGACTAGACGGGATGGGGTGGTCTGATCGGGTAATATGCAGTTTGGGTTTTTTTGCATCATGGCCTATTGGCGTATTGGTAGATCTCTTCGACATTTTATATCAAATAGATAATCCTAGCTTCTAATGAAGACGACTTCGTATTTGTTACGATTGGCGGGTCTTTTCCACAGTCCACTATGAGTCCACTGCAATCCACACCACTCCACTGTTTTTTTAAATTTCCAAATGAAAAATGAATAAACATTGTAAACGTCATTAGTGTCATTTTAGCGAAATTTAGTTAGTGATTGCCGCAACGCAAAAATAATCGTATCATCGTACACAATCGTACTACAATCGCAAAGAAAACAGGAGGTAACGTGCGACTCGATTCCACAATTAATTAATTCCGAAAAAAATGTTATTTTGTAAAATTCATAAAAACTTTGACTGTAGAATAAATTAGTAATTTAGTAAGCGTAGGCATAGTAATAAGTGTTATTCTATATTGTTAATAAATTCTAATTAATTTGCTAATAATATTTTCATTGTGCTTAATGTACATAAATCAAAGTAAATTCATATTTTAAATTACTTTCATATTAGCTTCACTGGTCACATACAAAGGTAGGTCATTCTTGTTGAATAGTGTTAAAAATCCATCTATATAAATAAAAATGAATTGATGTTCATTAGTCTGATGAAAACTCGAGAACGGCTGGGCCGATTGAGCTGATTTTGATTTTAAAATGTTTGTCGTAGTCCAGGGTAGGTCTAAACGGTGAGCGTGTAGTAGGTCAAGCTATGTTTGGGACGTGTATAAGTGCCCTGGAAATGGCCTATTATCATCATCATCATTTCAGCCATAGGACGTCCACTGCTGAATATAGGCCTCCCCCAATGACTTCCACATCGCACGGTTGGCAGCGGCCCGCATCCAGCGCCCTCCAGCTACCTTTATCAGGTCGTCGGTTCACCTTGTGGGTGGACGTCCCACGCTGCGTTTTCCCACTCCAGAACCTTCTGCTCCATCGGTCGTCAGTTCTGCGTACTATGTGCCCTGCCCATTGCTATTTCAGCTTGCTAATCCATCGGGCTATGTCAGTGACTTTAGTTCGTTTACAATTATGTGATATCTCCTCATTTCTGATTTGATCTCGTAAAGAAACACCGAGAACAGCCCTTTCCGCTATAGCACGCTGTGCAACTTTGAGCTTCTTTATGAGGCCTATGGTGAGAGGCCACGTTTCGGAGCCGTATGTCATCACTGGTAACAGTGGTAACACACACTGGAAAAAGCCTATGTACTGAATAAACTATTCGAATTTGAATTTTGGACCGCAAATAAGTGATCACTTAATAAGGATATCCTTCCGTTTGGCCAAATTACTTTTCGCCATATTTCACTTCGCAAACAACTTATCGCCAAAGTTTCATTTCCCAATTAACTTTTAGCAACTGTTACTTTTTGCACCTAATTCATTTGGTCAATTATCATTTGGCAAAATTTGTTTGTATGTTTATGGGTGTCCCAGAATGGACGTATCAAACTGATAGGGGAGGTAGCTCTACTAATGTAGGTACTATCCCAAAAAATATGAAAAAAAAAATAAAGCGCATAAGGAAACAAAAAAAAATTGTTTTTAAAGTGGAAATAAATCCGCTTTATCTAAGTATCTGGCTATAATTGCTGCATTTGGAGTTTATTTGTACTTTTTTTCTTACTACTATTATTTGTACCCCGATCGATCCCCCCCCCCGTCACAAGTCCTATGGCACCCTGTTACCCCCCAGGACTTTGGGGTTATGATCGCTTCGTTTATCTGTATACAAACTTTTGAAATTAAAAATTTGCAGTTGTTTTGCCAAATGAAATTTTTTTGGCCAAATATAAAAAGTCTATAATGTCTTCAAAGGTGTCTGACCTAATAAAGACTAAATTAATTCAAGCTTTTTATTTTAAATTCATGTGAAATAAATAAAAATAAGTACTTTTCTTAATGTTTTGTTTCATAAAGCTAGGTCAAGTTCGTTCGTTTCAGCCAAACGACGTCCACTGCTAGGTCAAGTACTTGAAGATAAATTAGGATTTTCTAAATCTAAATGGTCCGTTTTCGTTACGATCCAGTGTAACGATTGAGCAAGTTAATTTAAATATAACAACGTCTACATCACTAGACTATGACAAGCTTATGTCCTACACCACAGAACACATTATACGAAACTGACACGTTCCACCCGTGACATTGACAGGGGGGCGCCACCGTACCGAATCGCTGGTTCTGATTTTTGCCACGTTGGACCACCTTATTAAATGACATTACGGGAGGGCGCTAATATCAATACTGGGTTTAGTTTTTGATTTTCGCCACTGGACGTTTCAGAATCGTGGGACTTTATCCATATCTGTGGTATTATTTGTCATCATCAGTCAGGGTTTGTTTTGTCTTTGATTAGTTCGTCGTGGAAATTTGTGAAAGGCAGTCGTGTACTATGTCGGAACCTTATAAACTTGGTGATTTAGTTTGGTATGTAGGAAAATTGTATTTTTTTGACCTAAAAGCTGTTCGTTTGTTCATCGTGAATAAGTAATAAATTAAATAACTTTGTTTCAGGGCTAAAATGAAGGGGTTCAGCCCTTGGCCCGGCCGGGTGAGTGGCTTTGCTTTTTGATCTTTTCGGAGATTATGAAAAATCTTAATATTTTGGTCTTTTCCATAAGTTCTTTTAGGTTTATGTTTGTAGAATTGTTTGTACGATAAATAATAATTAATTGTTATTGGTTTTGTCTGTTATCAAACATCAGAGATGGGCGGGAAAGTCTAGCGTTACTTACAGATTGTTTCAAGCAAGACAAGTTTTCACTAAAACACTATTTTGGCCAATTTGTAATAAGATCCGATAAAAAATTCTTAGCGTACTTTTTGTTGTGTTGACTCTGATTAACTACACAATAAATGTTTCTTGCCAATTTGAGATTGGTGTCATATAACCTAATTTTATGTGTTTGTGGTGTTCCAGGTCGCCATTCCTACTCCAGAGCTCAAGCTCCCTAAGAAGGCGACAAATGTGCAATGCATCTACTTCTTTGGAACTAACAACTAGTGAGTAAATTCAACATTTTTATATAATTGCAATATTGATGTCTTGCTGATATACAGTTGGGCTATTTCAGGTTTTCTAGTTATCTTAATACTCTACAAATTCTTTGCATCTACTGTAGGGCTGCCATCTGCCAGCTGTCCGTGAAATCTGAGACTCCCAAAATAGGGTCGCTTGATCATTCAGAAATTTAATTTGAATATCCCATAAATTGGAGATTACTAGATTTTTCACAAGGTTTATATGTGTTAATAGCATAGCAAGCATTTAATATGGCTTTAGTTCTATCCAATATAGAACTACAGTCAGGACCCAGTGCTTCAAACTTCAATTGTGACTGCACTAAAACTTAAAAACATCCACTAATAACTAATCTGTTTGAATTTGTAATTTCAAATACGTTTGTCACAGCAGTTCAGTTTTGCCTGGATCCTACATTACAGTATCCCGCAAAACTATATTGTCGTGGGCATGAATATCTACTTTTATAAGAAGTAGTTATTTTGTAATTATAGCTAACAATTCGCCACCAAAGTAAGTAAAGTAATAAGTCGTTTTATCTTTTATATAAAATTATTTTGAAAAGGCTGATTTACACATATTAAGTAGATAAGTAGGTAACTAGATTTTAACTAAATTTTTCTGGTATGTTGGTGGACGAGGCTTGTCACTTAACACATTTTGACAAGCAGTTTCAAAGTAAACAAGAGCTTGATGTTTGAACATAGACTTAAAATTTAGTTACGATGCAATTTGATCACTAAAAATTAAGTTACTTACTGAACTACTTAATACAAGTAAATCAGCCTTAACAGTGTTTTGATAAAACTACGAAACGGCTCAATGGATTCTAATGTTATTGTGAGAATATGATGTCGATGTTACATAGGTTTAAGGGATTTTCGGGTGTACGACCCGTTTGCACAGCTAGTTATTTATTGATACTTTTGTACAAGATTATTTATCATTACTTATGTATATGGAATAATTCAGAATATGATAAACAAAAATACCATAAAGCATTGTGGGTGTCACACTGTAGGATGATAAAAGTTTAAGGGAATTGATTTCCCACAATGGTGGATGTTTTGCAAAGAGTAATAAAGTCATAGTCATGGTCATTTATTACATAAATAATAGTATATTGTATTGGAAGTAAGAAATACATGAAAAATTAAATTAGAAAAATATGAAACTTATTACACATTGATATAAAATCACAAAATACATACCACAGCATAAAACTACAATAAAAGCATTTAACAAAATTAAATATTACATACTTTTTATCATTACATTATGCACTGTATGTATACCCATTGCAAGCAAATGTTATTTGCTTGATGCTATTCCAAAACTACTCTGCACTGTGTCGTTACTTGAATGAAAATCGTGTCAATAAGATATCATTTATGTATGAAATTCAATTACATTATAAAAAAATCTAAAGGACTGCACAAACTTCTGATACTGTTACCGACAGGGAACTTCATGAGAAACTGAGTCTTAGAATAGTGATAAGTGGAAGCTATTGGACTTATTGGACACAAAGTGTTCACATCTGTGCAGTGTGCAGGGAGTGATTGATTTTAATTTGAATGTGTAAAAATAAAATATTCACTGGTGGCTTTTTATACCATCCAGAAGATACAAAAGTGTCGACATTTGCGACGTCTTCCTACTCGATGATACGTGTGTATTGTGCGCTTTAGCAATCAATTTAAGATATCCTTCGCTTAGACACGGTCGAAATACAAAGCAGGTTTCTAGGGATGCACATTACCAGGGTACTCCAGGCTCATGCGCCTACTAACACTAGGCTTGCTTGGGTCATGTCGACGGCTTAGGGCAAAGTCCTTCCTCAAGGATTTCCATAGCGACAGATCCTGCGCTGCCCGCATCCAGGTTATTCCCGCGATTTTCACCAGATCGTCGGTCCACCTAGTGGGGGGCTTGCCTACACTACGGTCCGTGGTCGCCACTCGAGAACTTTTCTGCCCCAAAGGCCATCATCTATGTTCCCCGTCCACTGTCACTTGATTTTAGCACCGACAATCGACATATTTACATACATTTTCGTGTGACCCGTGTGTGGCGACCCTTAAGCTTCAACCACACCAACGCTTGCTGATCGCCATTGTCGACGCGATCATAGGCTAGTGAAAGGTGACGCGATCATAGACTAGTGAAAGGTCGCGCGACCTGTCATTGGCCTATGATCGCGTCGACGATGGCGATCAGCAAGCGTTGGTGTGGTTGAAGCTTTAGCGGTGCCTAAAATGCTTTGTTCCGCTGCTGGACCGCTTCCCACCTCAGTGGGTTACTGCGCTTTAAACTTTAGTTCTGAAACTTTTGCCAACAGCGCCTGGATAGAGGAGAATAACATTAAGCCGTACCAGGAGTTCAAGGAGCAGCTCATCAAGTCGTGCAAGACCGCCGCCTTCAAGGAGGCCGTCAACCAGATCGAGGAGTTCATCGAACATCCTGAGGTAGGTAGCAGAAACAACACAATTGAGCATTTTTTGTTATATTCACAGTGCAGTCTATGTATTCCCATCTCATTAGGCGTTTTCAGTGACAAAACTGTCTATTCCACTTTCATCAGGTCATCCAGGTAGATTTGATCACCCAGGTGATCAAAGTGGACTCCAGGCAACGCTGGTGTCCTTTGATCACCATGGTTAAGAAGTAAAATTTGATCACCTAGGTGATTTTATCCTTGGGCCGACTGCTTTAGGCGGCGAGGAGGGGCTTACCATAAACAGTATTCCTTAATTTAGTTTGCATGTATGTATTGCGTCAACCTTAATAATCTGATGCGACCGTTTTTATCAAGGGGCATCGAAAGAGGATGTTTATGTTCCCTGACACCTAATGAGCTAGGGCGGCGCCCTTGTTCACGAGGTTTAATAATGCACATGTCTGTTTCATTCCAATTCCTCAAAATAAGCAGACCCTTTCGACACACTATACATGTCTTTTGAAGTCGAACCTTAACTTCGAACTCCTATGTTCTTCTGATTAATTTCGTTGCGGGTCCAATGGACAGTTTTAACTTTCCCCCGGGACGACTTCACTGGTTGGGTTTTTATCGGCGGTCAAGCTGTAGATCCTGGCTACACAGGAGTTGTAGCTGTGGAAACTAGTGGTGACTGAGTTTGTTCCGGCGTTTCTTCTCAGCACTAAAGCCTGGTCCGTGGGCACGTAGAATCCCTCGCACACTCACTGCGGGCGCCCGTCGCACAGTCGCGACAGCAACATAATTACGCGCGAGCGATAGGGATGGGTAGCTTGGGGTCATTGGAAGGGATTCTACGTGCTCACGGACCAGGCTTTAGCCATGTTTGTCTCGAAGCGCTGGTAGGGCCCAAAAGATAAGGAGGCATGTAAAGTGCTCCTTAAGGGCTACCTTTTTTTTACTGTATTTCGACGTTCACAAGTGCCACCAGTGGTTAAAATTGAATAAAATATTTTTGATTCGCATTTATAATATTAGTAGGATTTTGAACGAGAGGTGGGAATAGTCCCGATATACATGTCTCATGCGTTGCTGAGTTGTAAGTTTGTGCGCCAGAAATTCGGTGACTTGGACGACCACGCACGCAACGCTGAAGAGGAGTTCGACAAGCTGAAGGACGTGCTGGAGGAAGAGGAGACGCGCCAGGCGCACGACGAGCCGGAGGAAGGTTCCTCGCCCGAGGTCAAGAAGAAGAGTGCCACCCCTAAGGTATGTTCCATTCATCATCATCATTTCAGCCATAGGACGTCCACTGCTGAACTTAACTGAACTAGGCCTTCCCAAATGATTTCCACAAAGGTCGGTGTTAGTAGTGGCCTTCATCCAGCGCCTTCCTGTTACCTTTATGAAGTAGTCGGTCCACCTTGTAGTCCCAAGATTTTTCCATTCATTGAAGGCATTCGCCCGAGGTCAATAAGAATAGTGCCAGCCCTAAGGTATGTTCCATTCATCATCATCATCATTTCAGCCATAGGACGTCCACTGCTGCACTAGGCCTCCCGCAATGATTTCCACAAAGGCCGGTTGGGAGCGGCCTGCATCCAGCGCCTTCCTGCTACCTTTATGAGGTAGTCGGTCCACCTTATAGTCCTTAGATTTTCCCATTCATTTAAGGCATTCGCCCGAGGTCAAGAAGAAGAGTGCCACCCTTAAGGTATGTTCCATTCATCATCATCATTTCAGCCATAGGACGTCCACTGCTGAACATAGGCCTCCCCCAATGATTTCCACAAAGGCCGGTTGGGAGCGGCCTGCATCCAGCGCCTTCCTACCTTAATGAGGTCATCGGTCCACCTTGTGGTCCCAAGTTTTTCCCATTCATTGAAGGCATTCGCCCGAGGTCAATAAGAATAGTGTCACCCCTAAGGTATGTTCCTATTCACATCATCATCATCATTTCAGCCATAGGACGTCCACTGCTGAACTAGGCCTCCCCCAATGATTTCCACAAAGGCCGGTTGGTAGCGGCCTGCATCCAGCGCCTTCCTGCTACCTTTATGAGGTAATCGGTCCACCTTATAGTCCCAAGATTTTCCCATTAATTGAAGGCACTCGCCCGAGGTCAAGAAGAAGAGTGCCACCCCTAAGGTATGTTCCATTCAGCCATAGGACGTCCACTGCTGAACTAGGCCTCCCCCAATGATTTCCACAAAGGCCGTTTGGTAGCGGCCTGCATCCTTTATAGGTCGTCGGTCCACCTTGTGGTCCCAAGATTTTCCCATTCATTGAAGGCATTCTTGTCACTACTCTGCCGTTGCCACTTTCGTACATTTCGAACTTAACCCACCGTTTACGATTCGGTGTAACTGGTCGATTTTAATTCTGACCAGGTTCATAGTTTCATATTTTAATTGGCTAAAATTCTTGCCTACATAAAGTCGGCCCTACTTTATATAGGTAAGAATTTTCAAACAACTTTTATTTTAAATCAAGTCAATTGAAACTATGAACTAGAGCGAAAAGGGTTTTTGTATGAAAGTCATAGAAAAACCCTTTTCGCTAGAGAATAATGCAAAATCATTTAAACGTGGCACTGGAATGTTCCGTTCTCCTGTTTTTCTTCAAAATGCTTAATCTTCTAAACATTTATAGATACGTTTGGGCATTTCAAAGGTGAAGCCTATAAAACGGTCGTCGTCAGCCGGCACCAAGGGCACGCCCCGCAAGAAGGCAAAGAGCAGCGGCGCGCGATCCTTCACCGATTCAGACCTCGCCACCGAGAAGCCCTCGATGTTCAACCACTCGTTCTCCAAGAAGTCCAGCTTGCTGCATCGCCCCTCCAACATTCTGCGACCCGTGAGTATAATAATAATTTACTACCGGCCGCCCGCGACTTCGCGATCCCGTTTTATCCCCTTAGGGGTGGAGTTTCGTAAAATCTGTTCTTAGTGAGCACCTACATTCTAAAAGTTTCTGAGATTTCGTGATGAGTGAGTCAGTCAATCAGTGACCTTTCGCTTTTATAAATAATAAGTTATAAGTTATTAGGTATAACAGTGTTTTTCAACCTTTTTCATGACACGACCCCCCTAGTATGTAAAATTTTTGGCGACCCCCCGACCGTTCGCTTTTTTTTCATGCATTTTATAATGTTGCAAAGATGTTTGTAGGGACCGAATACTTCATTACATACAACATTTGCATAATTAGATTTCGGATTAATCTGTCTTTATAAGAATTTTTTTTACTGAGGTAGTTTTTACGACCTCTCGCGACCCCCCTATAGAGGCTTCGCGACCCCTCAGGGGGTCGCGACCCACAGGTTGAAAAACACTGAGGTATAACAACAGTATAGGCCCAAGATACAATTATTAGAGGCCGGTAGATCTATTCTCATAAATGAAACACTGGATACTTAACTTTCACATTATATTGCCTCATTTTAAATACAATTCATCACTTAACACAAAAGCGCGCGGATGCTTCAACTCGCGACCCATGACAGTCCGCGCGACCTGTCATTGGCCTATGATTGCGCCGGCGATTGCGATCTAAAGCACGGTCTGTGAGCACGTAGAATTTTGTCCAATGACCCCAAGCTACCCATCCTTATCGCTCGCTCGTAATTATGTTGCTGTCACGCTCGCACACTCACTGCAGGCGCCCGTCGCACAGTCGCGACAGCAATATAATTACGCGCGAGTGATAAGGATGGGTAGCTTGGGGTCATTGGACAAAATTCTACGTGCTCACAGACCAGACTATACACGCATTGGTGTGTTTGTTTTGGATGAAGGATCAGAAGTAAAAATGAGGATTTGGCTTCCGTTCCCGCCCTGCCAGGTGGCTGGGGGGAATGATGTTCCTTAATTGTCTCTGAGTCGCCTCCTACAACATCTACAGGACATGGGACTTCCTACTTTGACAATATGAATTAGAATTCCTAGGATTATAATGACAACTAATTGTCATCCTATTCTATGTGTTCCTCTTCCTATCCACGTCACATTCTACCACTAACAGTTCTCTACTTGAATTACAAAATTAATAGTTTTTTTAGAGATAGTTCGTTTCATCCACGAAGACGCGCCCCACCAATTTTTGGTCGAGGGAAGCGCGGGGTGCGGGGAGTTTGATCCGAGCGTCATTATTGTAGTGTGCGTGTGCACTCATGGATGATTTAGCTGGATGATAACACTCAAACATTAGCGAAAGAATGGTGGGATGCGATTGTAACCTTTGTGGTCAAAATTATTCAAAGTCAGTTAAATGTTTGATTTGATTAATGAATGATTGAATATCATTTTATAATATTATTATCTCAATTAATTGTACTTGTAATAACGACTTGTTAACCAAAGAATAGCCAAATAATAACAACAGGTGAATATCCCAAAGAGTATACTCACATTCCTCTTTTTCCAGGAGACTCCTCCGTTGGACCTGGAGAACGTCTCCGAGACACTACTTGAGAAGAACATCAAGGCCAGCCAGATGAAATTCGGGTTCCTTGGGCTCGGCATCATGGGCAGCGGCATCGTCAAGAACCTGCTCAACTCCGGACATAAGGTCGTGGTGTGGAACAGGACGGCTGCCAAGGTAGGTGCCTCCACTTTACTGGTAGGGCTGGTCACTTGATGCGTGGGAAAGTAACACAAGTACAATTCAGTCGAGTTCACTACGCACCTGGCAGCTGTGACGTCACATCGTCGCTCTGGTATGAACGTGGCGAGGTGCGCATTTTGCTCGATCGGTTTGTTGTATGTACATTCTCACTACTAGGTCTTGCTGATGTAATTTGTTCCTTAGGTCTATTGACTTATGACACATTCTATAAGGATAGGGCTGGTTATCTGATGCGAGAAAACATGGGGAAGAAAAGCATTAATGAAAGCCGAGTCATACTACTAGGTCTTGCTGATTTAATTTTGTTGACTTACATGACACGATAGAGTTGTATTTCAGAATTCGGATTACTGAAGCAGCACTGCAATTTGAGACTTAATGACCCACACAGAGGGTCTTGTTGCCTCTCAATCTGTAGTTTGTGTCTAAGTCTAAAATGTGGATAGGTAAGACTTGACTAGGATTCTGATGATGTGCTAGGTAGTCGTGGCATAGACAGTGTCTTAAACTAAAGTATGTTTAGGCTATAATAACCTTTGTGTTCATGATAGTTTATATCCTGAACCAATAGATAGGTGATCGATAGTGTCCTTTTAGCTCTTTACTTACTTTTTAGAAATCAAGTGTTAGTTCTTAGTATATTTTATGTTGTATTACACTACTCTATTTAGTACCTATTCTATCAAAGAATAGTATACAAGCTATTTGGTTTGTCATGCAATAGATTCATGATTATTGATTAATTTTTTTTCGACTACAGGCATTGTCAGTAAGTTTTCGTCTTACTTTGAGTTCTTTCATCCTATTTATAGCATTGTGTAGATCGTGTCCATCAATTATTCTGTAGTAAATTTCTTTCAGTATCTCTCCCTCATCTTCATCTGTAGGTTTTCTCATAGGACATCAAATTACTTATCTTATAATGTTTTCTTTAGTTTGCTACCAAGGTGGGACAAACCTCAACAAATTATATGAAAGCAGGAGTTTCATTTGCGTTTACAAACACTTGTATTTCTATGAGATTCAAACCAGAACCAAAATAGTCTAGTTGTATGAAGTCAAACTCGAGATAACGACTTTCAGGATATAGCCATCCCTCTCACTCTTTCCAGGATACTAACATGAGCGACAGAGACAGATCAAAGTCAAATTACGGTAATCAAATAGTGCTAGGGAGTAGCCAAGGCTTAAAACGACTGTCGGCGTAGATACAATCATGTCTATTACAATTCATTGTAATTGAGATAGACTATTGATTCAGTGGAAGTGTGGTACAACATTTCAACAACGTCTGGACCCAAGTCGCGTAGAAATCGATGTAGACAGCAGTCGATGAGATATGCACTATATGCCTCTGAAATACGGACGTTATTAGCTTGATACAACTTGACTTCTTCCCTGCTCTTCGCCTGCATTTCAGCTCGAACGTATCCTGATTATTTAGCTTTAATTTCATTTAACCTTTATTTACCTTAATTTAATCCATGTAGTGTTAGTTATAAGTGTTCGGTTTGTTACAGTTTACCTACTAAACGCCATAGGCTACTTTTGCTCAAGTATAGGCTGATAATAATTTTGTCTTCATTACATTTACTACTTACGCTCTCCAGAATCCAATTTGAAGTCTTCTCCTTTCTTTAGTTCAGTCATGGCCAACCTAAGTCATTTAATTGGGTCAATTTGACCCCAACGATTTATGTGACTGAAGTCACTAACCTCAAGTTGGTAGATAGGTACTATTTTAGTGGAAAGATAAGTTACCTCTTTATTGATGGACAAAAAAATATCTTCATCAAAGAATATGAAAGTTTTCCAGAAAGTAAAATTAATTAAACTCATTTCATGCAGCTTCTTTTATAAATGAAGTAAGTTTCAAGTTGTATTTTTCGTGATTGATTTAACCCTATTTTTTGTCTTATATACATAGAATCGTGACTATTCCACCACATCTTGATTATATTTTTTCGTATAGCAATGTTAATTAATTACTATGTAAGAAGTCGACTTTTTAAGAATTTTCACAAACAAAACTATTACTTTGAAGCAAAACTATAACTTTTAATAGATATTATAAACATAGTTACACATAGTAAAGTTAAAGGCTATTAAAAAGCATTAGTTCGTTGTCTAGCTCCGCTAGTTAACGAGTATATCGTGGTGCAACAAATAACTAATAGTTTACCGTCCAAGTACGACCATTTTGGGCTGACTCGTAGAGACTCTGCTAGAGAGTATGGGTACAACCAATTTTGTAATAGCGATGACATTGACAACGCACTGGTCACTTGTCTCATTATATCTTGTAGACCAAGAATGTTGCAATTAATTTAGGCTTTCCTAAAGTCTCTTAACTTGTTTGACGATAATGTAGAAAAAATATACTTGGTATTTCGATTTTAATCTTAACTTTCATTTGAGTAAAGTTTAACAGTAGGCATTTATTGTCTTAATGACATGTCCTTGCTCAAATCGTTATGATTAAGTCTACAAAAATTCAGTGCAAAGCTACGGATTCGTAATTTTATACTATTAATAGATAAGTACTACTCCGGTTCTCCTTATCTTAGATAGGTTTTATAGGAGCTGCAAAGAATTTAAAAAGAGTCTAAAACTACTGAGACACTAAAACAATAGAAAATCTATAGTTTGTGTCTCAACATAGAGCCACATGGCGTCCATCGCATTAAGAAAGCATTATGCGCTACCATTTGTGACGACCAAATGTTGCACCACCTACATTAGGCATGTAATTAGGCTAATAATATATTAAATAATTAACAATAGAAACCCCACTTTGAAGTTAGTAAATATACTGAGTAAATATGAAATCATGTTACTCAAAATAGCTTCAAATCGAAAATTGCTTATTGAACAAAAAACGTCCATACTGGCTGATTCATTAAATTCATTCAGTCATTTTATTATTGCAAGTAGGCTTTTAAAAAGCACTTACACACGTCACAAATAAGCAAAACATATTGCTTATTTTTAATTTCACTAGACTCGACTCGCAAGTCTGTGTCAATTTTTAAGAGCTTCTGTCTAAACTTTCAAGAGATTCTAATATAACTGTTCTATGTCTGTACAGTCGCAGAATGAAAAGGTTCGTCACCTTAGTGTCGGTTTTCGCTTGCACTAGGTACTGTAAGAGTCAAACCTGCCAACATAACAGTGCAAGAAACAGTGCTGCTAACATTTAAATAAATATGACGTTTGCTTTTGCTTGTTTATTTTTCTATCCCATCAGTGCAATGCAATGATGACATTGACCAATTGACAATAGTTTTTTTTATTTAATAGAAATAATAATGGCAGATTGAACCAACAAGAAGGTTTTAGTTTATCAATCATAATAATCTTCTTGACAAGATAAATCATCAAACAACTTTGATCAATAATTTTGAACTTTACTGACGAACAGTTAAAGGTTATTTTCTCTAACTCGAGATTATTCTGTAACATAGTTTCAAAAGGTAATATGTGTTCGCGATTCGTTGAAGGAATCAATTTGAAAACTGACGAACCTTTTCATTCCGTGACTGTACTTAAATATTTGTCCTGCAGTGGACGTCATTTGGCTGAAACTTAAATAATATGGCTTACAAAATCTTACTAAACATTTTTTTAAACTATATGAGACATAATTGTGAGCAGTGAATATGTTTTATGAAACACTTGACTGCCCCAAGGATCAGTGTTTAGTAATTCTTGTATGTACTTTAATCTGACATATTTAAAAGATTACGTCATGATTTCATATGTACTCTATCAGCAAATTATGCAATCGGCGAATATCCTAATTAATTATTAAGCTATGATTTATAAAGATTTGTCAATATCATAATCAATAGAGTTCTAGGCATGATGGGAAATAATATTATAAATTACTTTAACATTAAGGAAGTAGATAAATATAGTGATCATTAATTAATTACTTAATCACAACTGGTACACTAATTTTCCTCCATTTGTTAATTGCAAATGATGCGAATTTCTAATTACGTTATTAATTATTTAAAATAACACTACTTATTAGAGATGAAACGGATAGTTGTTTGGCCGGATACCGGATACCGGATATCCGGCCAGCTGCTAGGCCGGATAGCCGGATATCCGGCGGCCGGATAGTTGGCCCATTGTCTCGTTGCATGTCGTGACGAGTTTAGCGCCACACAGGTGCTTCGAACGCGACCAGTGGGTCTATTCTATTAGTAGACTAGACTAGTCAAACTTTTTGAAAATCGAATCCATCCGAGCAGAATGTCAGATTTTGCCACTTGTCTAGGGGGCAGATCAATTCGGGCGATTTCGGTTGCTATCGTGAGTGTGTGATTGAATAGCGAAAATTAAATTAGTTTACTTGCTGCATAATTTGACTGAACTGCATCATGTCATCAGACCATCATAAGTGAAAAAAAGATCGCCTATGTTATTTAGTGATAGTACAAGACTCGAGGCGTCGAGTCCTATTTTTGAAGCCTCGAGGCGGAATGGCAAGACTCAGTGAGCTCGGTAGGCTCGGTGCCCCGAGCTTAGCCGAGCTGCGAGCTCTCTGAGCCATGCCTCGAGGCTTTAAAAGAGCTCGAACCTTCAAAAGAGCTCAAATCTTCGAAAAAAAAAACATCACCTACATTGATTTTTGTTATAAGATTCTTAAAATTTACTTATATTTTATTTTTTTGGGAAAAGTTATAAATCTAATCGTATGTAGTCATTATTTGATTTGTGTCCTTTTGTGAAAAACGTTTTTCAAATATGTATTTTATTGTAGGTATCAGAATTTCTGCAGTTTTATAAAATAGAACGATCTTAACACAAAAGTTAACTGGGCTTTCAAAAAGGCTCGAGCTCTGCGAAAGACTCCAAGCTTCATACAAACGAGGCGAGCCTCGGAAGCCTCGAGCCTTGTACATCACTAATTTTATTTTGCAATATTTCGACATTAACAGATAATTAATATTTATGTATTTGTC